GGATCACCACCCCCTCACATAAGGATAGACAGGCCTCACTGCTGTGGAGCTACATGAACACAAGTGAGGAAGACTCCACTAGCTCCTCCATAAAATCCGCTAGGCCCAGGGCCACAGGGGGCAGACACAGTGCTTTCCGTGACTTAGAAAAAGGAGGCCCCTCTGAGCAGAAGAACTTTTAGAAGTGCCTCCTCTGAGTGAGCAAAGCAGGAAAAAGTGTCCCATCTGTGCCTCTGGATGGGTGCTCTTGGGCATGGCATAATTTGTACACCTAAGTATGTGGTCCGGATTCAGCCCCCCTTTCACAGCCTCCCCTAGGTGGTCTGGTTATCTTCCAGAGCTCTTGGGCTCATCAACGAGTCATCCCCGCAGTTACTGCCCAGCATCTGCCACGCTCTTCCTTTCCTGCTTCAGTTCCCTGGTTGATGGCTCTACCTCTGAGGCCACTGGAGGATATTTCACCTCTGCTGGAGCCTGCTGGGAGGGTGCTGATGTCCAGACACGGAGTAGCCCCTCAGTGCTCTCCCAGGCCTTCCTGGAGCACAAAACTCTGATCAGGATAATGGCAGGGCAAAACAGCCCAAACGTGTACTTCCTATTAGCTACATAGTTTATTGAGCACCGCATCTTACCCCATTTCTCAACAGCCCTGCCGTATGATTGCTCCAGTTCTCAGCTTGTGGTCCATTCCGACCTTTTGTTGTTGTTGTTGTTGTTGTTGTTTTCTGCCAGTTGAAGAAAAGTTGATACCTGGTATTGCCTTGTTCAGCATGTATATTTTTTGCATATATCAGTATGGAAACTCTGGGTCAGGCAATTTCCAATGGTTTGAGAAGACCCATGAAAAGTAGGGTAGGTCTGCAGAAAAGCAGAAACATAGTTCAGAAAAGAGTTTCCATGGAATCGAAGAGAGAGAAGCCCAGCTCCTTGGAGCATTCCCTAATCCCCTGTCAGCAACAGCTACTGTGAGATGCAACTGGGTAGCTGCCAGTAGTCCCCAGCCCTGGGCTAACGCATCTTTTCACCCTTCACCTCCCTTCCTCCTGCAAACACAAGATGGTTTGGATTATTATGCTTCCTTCTCATTGGTTCTTCTACCTCAAGACACCTCATCACTGGTAAAGACAAGATGCAGCTCCTGCCCTGATTGGCTGATCTGTTGCTGGGGTAAAGGCCAGCAGGGTGATTCTGCTTTCCCAGATGTGGTCTCCTTCAGGACCTAAAGATACACACCCCCATTCAGTCTCTCTTGACCTTCCTCCCACCCCCAGACAGTCCCTCCTTCCTCTTATGGTTACACAGTAAACAATCAGGCCATCCAAGGGTTCCCTGGGGAGACCCAGAGGTTTTCATCTTTGCAGTGGTTAGCCTGCTAAAGTAGGATTTCATATAATCCACGAAGGCAAAATTGGGGGAAATCAACCTTTGATAATCAAGAACACACACATCTCCACAAGACCAAGCGAGAGGTCATAGATTTTCTGACAACTAAATCCCTCTAACAGCCACTAATGCAGATTAAGTATGGCTTTGCATGTAAAGCAAATGTGTAAAAACGCAGGGTTTGCTAGTCCCCAACTGCTACCAGTGGCCACTGTGCCTGAAATTCCACCATTAAGGTTTATTCCTTTATGAATTTTCTTCTCCTGGGGCTGACTGTTAAAATACAAAGAGCCCTGGGCGCCTGGGTGGCTCAGTTGGTTAAGCAACTGCCTTCGGCTCAGGTCATGATCCTGGAGTCCCGCAGGATTGAGTCCCGCATCGGACTCCCTGCTCAGCGGGGAGTCTGCTTCTCCCTCTGATCCTCCCCCTCTCATGTTCTCTGTCTCCCATTCTCTCTCTCAGATAAATAAATTAAAAAAAAAATCTTTAAAAAAAAAAATACAAAGAGCCCAAAGTCTGTTCTGAAAGATATGCGAAAAGCTTGGCCAAATGAGTTCAGAGACACCAAGATGTTTTAGCAACCCCCGCGATAGGTGGAATCGTGGCCCCTAAAGATGTCCATGTCCTAATCCATGGAACCTGTGGCAAAAGGGACTTGGCAGATGTGATTAACAGTCAGGACTTTGAGATAGAAAGGTTAGCCTGGATTATCTGGATGGGTCCAATATAATTACATGAGCCCTTAAAAGCAGAGAGATTTTCCTGACTATGGTCAGAGAAAGAGACATGGTAATACAGAAACCAAATCAGACAGATGCGTGTTGCTGGCTTTGAAGATGTCGGAAGGGGGCCACCAGCGAAGGAATACTTGTGAATGCCTCTAAAAATTGGAAAAAAGGAAACAAATTCTCCCAAAGGGCTTCCAGAAACACAGTCCAGCAGCACCTTGTTTAACCCAGTGAGGCTCGAGGCAAACTTCTGACATGTCAAATTGTAAGATTATAAATCTGTGTTGTTTTAAGCTACTAAGTTTATGGTATTTTGTTGCAGCAGCAATAGAAAACTAAAAGGGAAGGGGTACCTTCCCTTAGAGATTCAAAGTGCACGTTGGCATATTAAAGGCTCGAGGGAGCCTTTCAGTAAAGATACCCATGTAAGTCAGCATTTCAGAAACTTATTTGAAAACCACACCTTTTATTCCCCTGTAACATCTGCTAACATCTTAGAACATGATATGGAAAATACTGCAGTAAAGCATTAACTGCTATTAACATCTCAGTGTGACTTAGTTCCTGTTTTCAATGTGATAGCTAGGTGAGAGAGAACAGCACACAGGACAGGCAAGTTTTAGTGGGCCGACACGGAGGTCTAAAGGGCTGAGCTCTGGGTACAGGAAGTCAGTGGAGAGAGTGGGGAATGAAGAGGAAGTGGACACATACTAGAGAGAAACTTCAGCTGCGACTCAGCCTGTGTTGCTCAATAGTTTGTGCCAAACCTCCCCTACCTTTCAGGTTGGCCATCTTCTCTACAAAATTTGCCCTGACCTCCTCCTCTCCCCCACGCCTGGGCTGGAAGGTCCTCCATGTGCCTCCATGGCCTCTTGTGTTTATTTACCTCTGGTTGTGGCAGCAATGTAGTGAAATTACCTGTTTATTTGTCTGTCTCTCCCACTAGCCTGAAGTTGCTAGAGGACAAGAGCTGTGTCTGGTTCACTGTTCACATCTTCTGTGTCCCACCATGCCCGGCACATTGAAGGACTCAGGCTGAGCCTCTGTCTTACCCTCCTTGGACCAGAAATGTGTATGAGCTTAATCCTGACTTTCTTCACGATCAGTGAGTGCTGTTGAGGGACATATCAACACTCAGCCACAGTCCAGCCCAACAAGAACTCGCCTTCCCAGTAAGACCATACAGCACATTCTGTCATACCTTTTTTTAAAAAAAAACCTGTCTCCCTTCTCTGGTGAAACAAGCAGAGTTTAGCCTGAAAGTGTTCCATGTTGTACCACAATTTATGGAGCTTCTGACTAGGTTATGAGCAAAACAGATCAAAAGAGCAAACGTTACATCTTCCAAGATGGTTTATAGGAAGCAAACGGAATTAAGGAGTTGTGGAAGTGAACAGGACACTCTGGGAAAAGGAAATGAGGGGCTAGGTCAGTACTGGTGTGAGGTGAGAGATAAAATGAGCCAAAGAGAGAATCCCATATATCACCTCTCCCATAATCCAGGAAGTCTTTTTGGATGTAAAACACTTAGAAGTAAAGAGAAACCAAAATTTCCTGTAGGGAACCACCCCTTCCCCTCTCTCCTCCCAAGATGAAACACATGATCTGGGCTTGAACAATTAGAGCCCTGAATCTGCTAGTTCCAAAGATGGGGGCGGGGGGGGGGGGTAGGGGGGCATGGCAAATGAGATTGACTTCTGAGTCTGAACTTGAACCTGGAAAGACAAAGTCCTATAGCTGTTATTCAACGGAGAATGACAATAAACTAACATAAAGAAGAGCACAGGTGAGAAATGGAGAGGGTCCCAGTCCTGGTGACACCACATGAGTCCTGGGTTAAGTGTCATCTGAAGTCTTTCATATATGAGCCAATAAACTCCCTTTTCTGAGGAAGTCAGTTTGGGTTGGATTCCCATTCCATTGCAATCAAGAGTCCTGATGATGTGGAAGAAAGAAGAGCTTACATAGTATGAGAAAATGGTGGAGGGGCACCCAGCTGGTTCAGTCAGTAGAGCCTGCAACTCTTGATATCGGGGTTGTAAGTTCGAGCCCCATGTTGGGTGTAGAGATTACTTAAAAATAAAATCTTTAAAAAAATGGTGGAGAAATCTGAGAACCAAGAGGCAAGGAGCAGTGAACACCTACTCCCAGCTCCCCTCTCTGGGAACTGCCACCTCTCACCACCCTCAAGTTCACAGGAGGATGACTCCCTCGTACCTGGGTTTGTTCAAAAGCCCCTGCTCCCCTGGCCACAACTGAGCCCACCATATTTTCTTCCTCAGGAAACTGGAACGGGGACTAAGAGTCCAGTGCCAGTGGAGGCTGCTGCCCTGAAGAGGAAAAGACGCCAAACCTTGGGAGATGAGACATAGCTGTATTTTCTGCCTGTGGACTGTGCAGTAGAGATGAGAAATTTGAAGGTCAGAGAGACTATATGGCTTTGCCTAAGGATGCACACTTGTTACGATTTTCACAGAACTAGAGTCCAGCTTTTCTGAATTCAAAATTAGACAGGAAACAGCTGGGTCAGGGTGCCCTAAGAACTCTAGACGTGGGAGCAACTTGAATCAGACAGCAAGGGGTGATCTCAGCCTGGCCAGCCACCCAAGAAGTTTCAAGCCAAGGGCAAGCACTCAAAGGTATCTCTCTATGCTCAAAACATCAAAGAAATTCTGGTGCTTGAAATATCCCTCGATGGGCTCAGAGACTTGCTTTAGAGCACTTGCAGAGAATTTACACTGCCTCAACCTGCGCCTACTGAGCGGCCACGGACTCCCCGGAAACTACAACTCCCATTATGCATCGCGACTGCGTGGACTAAACCTGGGATAAACTACAAGCCCCAGAATTCCTTGGCGGAGAGAGGGAGATACGCGAGTACGAAGGGGCGGAGGGGCGTATTCACGTCGGCCGCGCGGGACCGTTAAATTTGAAATTTGGAGGGTTCGAGGTGGCTGGTTTGCCGAGGAGGCAGGGGCAAACTTTTGTCCCTCTGGTCGCTTCGTTACCTCGAAGGGCAAGTTGCAGAAGGAAGCCCAGGCGGTCTGCGGCCCTGAAGAAAGGCCTGCGGCAGGACGAGGGCCTGAACCGGGAATGCAGGATGGCGGCGATGAAGAAGGAAGGGGGTGCCCTGAGGTAGGTACCCGAGAAAGGTTGCCGGGAGCTCTGCCTGCGAGACCCGATGGTGTAGCCGGTGACAGAGGCTCCGCTCAGAGCTGTCCAGAGGAACACGGTCGGGAGAAGAGCGGCCCGGCTGGAGCCTCCTTCCTGCTGGAGTTGGGCGCAAGGGTCGGAGGTGAAGACGGGGTTAGTTAGCATCGACCTCGGTGGGGTGAGGGCACGTGAGAACCCTGCTGCACCCAGCTTCAAAGCAAAGGAGTCTGTGCGACCCCAATGGCACAAAGAATTTGGAATTTATAGTGTGGTCTGTGTATCTCCGCTCAGCCATTTGCTGGCTCTTTGACCTTGGACTCATCTTAGTACGGAAAATGCTGGTGGGGGGTGGGTGGCGTAACTGGGTGACGGGCTTTAAGGAGAGCACTTGATTTAATGAGCACTGACTGGGTGTTACATGCAACTGATGAGTCAGTGAATTCTACCTCTAAAACTAATAATACAGTATATGTTAATTAAATTGAATTTAAATAAAAAAGGATAGCAGAGATATAATAAATTGCTACTTAAATTGAAATCATACTGTAATCTTGTAAATAAAATCACAGTTGTCTTTTTTTTTTAAATACTGAAAATGCTGATGAATTCAAAGTATGTGTAAAGTAACTGCTTCCAAATAAGTGCCAAACAAATGGTAGGTGCTTCCATGTCAATGGCATACTTAGAAATATAAAAAGCCCTTCTCTGCATGCTTGCTGCTTTTCCTTATATAAATACATATCAGTTCTTCTAGGTTGGAATTCTGAATGCATTTTATTTTTTTTTAAGATTTTATTTATTTATTTGAGAGAGAATGTGAAAGAGAGAGAGCATGAGCAGGGGTAGGGGTAGAGGGACAAGCAGACTCCCTGCTGAGTGGGGAGCCCTTGGGGGGGGCGGCCCCATCCCAAGACCCTGAGATCATGACCTGAGCCAAGTCAGATGCTTAACCTGCTGAGCTACCCAGGCACCCCAAGCTACGCATTTTCATTATGGGGTGCACAATACTTAGATAAATGCCGTGTGGAGAACTCTTTAACTCGTGCAACAAATATTTATTGACTACCTCCTAAGCACTAAATATGGCAAATAAACAAAAGACACAAAAATCCCTGCCCTTGTGCAATTTAGTTTCTGGGGTGGGATGAGGGTGGGGGCAGCAGACAATAAACAAGAAAAATAAACTAAAAGCTAGATGGTCAGTATGAAAAGAACTAAAACGATGGGGAGCAGGGGCACTGGTGCAATTTTAGACAGTTTTGAACAGGGGGCCTCACTGAGAAGGTGTCATCTGGGTCAAGACTTGAAGGAAACTGCCCCGTGTTGGGTTCCCTGCTCAGTATAGAGTCTGCTTCTCCCTCTCCCTCTGCCGCTTCCCCTGCTTCTGCTCTCTCTCTCTCTCTCTCAAATAAATAAATAAATAAAATCTTTAAAAAAAAAAAAAAGACTTGAAGGAAACTTAAGAGCTAGTCAAGCACGTATCTGGGGGAAGTACAGAAATTTGGAGGGTTAGGGTTAGGGGAGGGAGCTGCACCTGGCAAGTAGCTGGAGCCAAGTGAACCAGAAGAGTAAAAGGAAATGAAGGATGAGGTAAAGGCAAGGATGTGAAGATTGTAAAGACTTGGTTTTTATTCTGGTTCAAAAGTCAGTGGAAGGTTTTGAGCAGAGGAAAGACAGGATCTGGTATGAGTTTCAATAGGATCATTGGCTGCAGTGTTGAAAAGACTAAGGCAGAAAAGGATGAAAGCAGGGAGACCAGTTATGAGGTTATTAAAATAATCCAGGCAAGAGAAGATATTAGCTTGAGCCAGGCTAGAAACAGTGGAGAAGATAAGAGGTTGATTTCTGAATCTATTTCGAAGGTAGAGCTAGTAGGATTTGCCAGTAACTGGAGGTGGGGGATAATGAGAGGGGTGTCAGGGTTGGCACTGTGATTTGGGCTTGAGCAACTGGAAACTAAACGAGATGATGCATTTAGTGGTAAGCAACTGGAAAAATGAAAGTGCCATTTATTTGAGATGAAGGAAGACTGTGGGAGGAGCAGGTCTGGAAGGAAGCAAGAGGAGCAAGGAGGGAGGGGAGCAGTCCCAGCTCAGTTTGGGACATTAGCTGAGGTAGTTTAATTGCTATTTCAAGATCAAGAGAAGACATTCAGATGAACTCCGCAAACATTTATTCAGTGCTTACTAGAGTCAGATCCTATATTAGACCATCGGGGTTGTGAAAATAAATGACAAGGCCCTTACAATTATAAGATTCACACAATATGGTTAAAAAGATGTGAGTAGTTACAACCTAAATTATTAATCACTTACAGTTTACCTTCTTGAGTGTTTTCAGCTCTCATCTAGACTGAGGTCACATGTAACTTTCACTTTATTTCTAAGATTAGTGCCTGTTTCTCTGTTTTAAGCCCAGAGATGGTGTCTCTCAGACAGAAGTAGGCTTCTATCTGTCAGTTGCAGAGCTCTGAAGTTCAGAGCACATACCCCATATGGTGATTGCCTCCAAAAAACTTGTGGGAATTTCCCCATCAGTAGGCTTGATGGAATGGGGGGGCGGAGGCAGTTGTGACCAGTAAATTGTATTTTTGTCTGCTTCTGCTCTGGGCTACCTGTATATACATATACACTTCAGTTTTAAGTCACCAGTTGAAACATGGGGTGTTAGTCTGACAAACTGCTTATTTTTTAAAAAAGATTTTATTTATTTATTTATTTATTTGAGAGTGAGAGAGAGCAAGCTCACAAGCAAGGGGAGGGGCAGAGGGAGAGGGACAAGCAGACTCCATGCTGAGCAGAGCCCAACGTGGGGCTCAGTCCCCAAACCCTGAGATCATGACCTGAGCCTCAATCAAGAGTAAGATGCTTAACCAGCTGAGCCACCCCGGCACCCCGGTTTGCTAATTTTAAACTAAACGAGATGATGCATTTAGTGGTAAGCATAGAACTGCTTTTTGTCTGCGTTGCCAAATTTATAATTTTTTCCCCTTCTTTTCTTCCTGCCTTAAACTTTATTCTTATAACTGTCCACAGTACCCTAGTTAGATTCTCTCTTCTGTTAGGCAATACTACAGCCATAAACTTGGAATCCAGGTCACAGAAAGGCTCAGACACTTAGGAGTGTAAGAACACTACTCATGTGCCAGCCCACCATATTCAGCCCAAAGATCATGAATAATCACTTATTTGAAAACATTTACAATAATCTAGTGATTTAATAATACTTATACATATATATGTTTATATATATACTTACATATACGTGTAAGTATGAAGTTTACTTTTATTTCTCTCTTTACAGTGAAGCCATGTCCTTGGAGGGAGATGAGTGGGAGCTGAGTAAAGAAAATGTCCAACCGCTAAGGCAGGGGCGGATCATGTCCACACTTCAGGGCGCGTTGGCGCAGCAAGAATCTGCCTCTAACGCTACTCTTCAGCAGCAGAAACGGTGTGTAGAACGGTGGGGGATCACCCTGTCATCATTCATCCTCAAGGCGGGATGGTAATGGAGATGTGGATCCATGCAGATTGGCATAGGAAATACTTTTCAAAAATTGATAGTGTGAGAATCTGTTCGCCACCTGCTTTTTCATCACACAACAGCTACCTAAAGATCTCCTTGAGTATGATTAAGAACAAGAGCTATAGGATTTCATTTCATTATGGAGCAGCCAAACTCTTGTATCAATAGAAATAGATCTTATACAGGGGACAATGAGAAGCAAAGTAAAACAAGTATCATATTAAACAGTATTTATCAAAAGTATAATGTCATGCTGGATCTCTAAATGGAATTAACTCTTTAATAGTAATCAGTTAAAGAAATTGCTTCCTTGGATTCCGAGTAGTGAGGGAGAGGGGAATCTGCTATCTTGCATGTGTACTCAATTTTTAACCTTCTAGGAAAGCATTTTTGAGAGTATGCCAAAAAGAAATAGTGATCTCCAAAGAAAATATAAACCCGAGAGAAATTAAATTTATACTAGAATGTTTCTCATGAATGATTTAATGAAGTCTGAAAAAAGAGAAGCTGAAAAATACTACAGTTGGCCCTTGAACAATACAGGGATTAGGGGTGCCGACCCTCCGTGCAGTAGAAAATCCACGTGTAAATTTTGACTCCCAAAACTTAACTATTAAAAGCCTCTTGACTGGAAACCTTACCAATAACATAAACAGTTAACACGTATTTTGTATGTTATATATATCATATACTGTATTCTTATAATAAAGTAAGCTAGAGAAAAGAAAATGTTAAGAAAATCATAAAGAGAAAATATGCTTACGGTACTGTACACTATTTACTTGAAAAAAATCCACATATGAGTAGACCCGTGTAGTTGAAACCCATGTTGTTCAAGGGTCAACTGTACTACGTTATTCAAATGGACCCACAGAACTTGCTTTCCTTTGACTAATACCTGTTTTGATAAATACACTTTTTTCAAAAAAGTGAACTAAAGCATCAGTTTCTACCTTTAATCTCTGACAAAAAAATTTCACTGTCATAGGCAATTTCAAAACTTCGGGTTATAATGTAATGAATATCCTCACTCATCTCATTGGATCTTTAAAAGCATTGAGTTTTATTTCAGAGATGGTGGTATTCTATTCTTAACTCTTCTTCCTGGTTTCTGTGACATTTTACTAGTGTTTCCACTTCTCTAACCTTCCTTTTTTCTTATTGGCTTCCTACTGCATTTTACCTAAGTCTTTTGTTCATTGCTCTATGTGTCCTTACAAATTCACGTTTTTCAGGATTGTTTAACTACTGTTTACGTCTCTTATTTGCCTTCTAAATGTCTTTTTATCTACCTGTAATATATAATCACTAGTGTATTAAATACTGAATCTCTTCTCTCATAAATGACCTTTCCATTTTGGTTAATGGTACCAAAACTCACTTGAATGATTTTACTCGTTGCCCTCTCATCCTAATTTTATTTAGTCCGTTACTAAGGTCTGGGATTTTTTTCTTAAAGTATAATTTACATGCTATGAAATGCTCAGATTTTTAAGTTTATGATTTAATCAATTTTGACATGCATTTCAAGACAGAGAACATTTTTATTACCTCCAAAAGTTCTCTCAATGCCCATTCCCAATCAACGTTCTTCCGCTCCTCATGAAGCAACCAGTGATCAGATACCTATCATCATAGGTTATTTTTGCTTATTCTAGAAGATTATATGAATGGGGTCATAGGTTCTTTCACTCAGCATGTTTTATTAGGCCTTTCGTGTTGCATGATCAGTAGATTATTCCTTTTTATTACTGAGCTGTATTCCATTTGTTTATCCATTTATCAGTTGATGGACATTAGATGCTTTACAGTTTTGTGCTTCATGAATAAAGCTGCTGTAGACATTCTTGTACAAGGATTTTTGTGAACATTTTCATTTCTCTTAGAATAGAACTAATGGGTCAAAGAATAAACGTGTGTTTAACTTTTAAGAAACTGGCAGTTTTCCAAAGAGATTATAACATTTTACACTTCTGTCAGCAATGTATGAGAGTTCGCTTGCTCCAAATCCACTTCAGTATATGGTGGTGTCAGTCTTTTTTCGTTTTAGCCATTTCGGTGGATATGTAATAGTATCTCATTATGGTTTTATTTGTCATTTCCCTGGTGACTAATGATGTGAGCACTTTTTCACATGGTTATTGGCCTTTTATATATCTTCTTTTGTGGTATATTTGTTCAGACATTTTGCCCAGTTTTAAAATTGGGTTACAAGAGACCTTTATATAGTCTGTATATAAGACCTTTATCAAATAATGTGTTACAAACATTTTCTTCCAGTTCATGGCTACCTATTTTCATGGGAGTGTTTTCTGATAAGCAGAAGTTTTTCATTTAGATGAAGTTTAATGAATTACTGTTTTTCTTTTACGGTTAGTGTTTTTTCTGTCTTTAGATCTTTGCAGAGATCCAAATTTGCAAAGATATTCTCCTGTGTTTTCTTCTAGTAGCTTTATTGTTTTAGCTTTTATGTTTCAGTCTATGATTCATCTTAAATTTATCCTTGTGTATAGTGTAAGGCTGGGGTAAAAGTTCTTCCCCCACCCCCCATAAGGATTTCTAGTTGTTCTGCCTCCATTTGTTGGAAGAGATTATTTTCTTTACCCCCACTGAATTGCTCTATGAAAATTCCCTTGTGAAAAAAGAAATCATTTGATTGTATATGTGTGGATTATTTCTGGCCTGTCTGTTCTCTTCCATTGATCTAATTGCTTATCCTTTCACCAATTACACATTTTCTTGATTAGCTTTATATAATAAATCTTGACTTTGGGCAGAGTGAGTTCTCCAACTTTTGTTGTTCTTTTTCAAAATTATTTTGGCTATTTTTGGTCCTTTGCTTTTCCAAACAAATTTTAAAATCATCTTGTCAGTTTCTAGAAAAGAGTCTTGTGAGATTTTGTTTGGATTGCATTGCATCTGTAGATACATTGGGAGGATTGCTGATTTTATTTTGTCTTAGATTTTATTTTTTCACCATTTCTGTAGATAATCGCCTCATTATCTCATACTGAAATCACCATTTTAGCTTCATAATTGTGGTTCCTTTTCTAATTTCTTCTATTCTTAAAATATTAATTGATCTTTTTGAAATCTTTACTTAACATATTCAAGATACTCTCCCATTAAAGAACCAGTAGTGGCTTGAGCAGGTGGAATCCAAAGTCCTTATTTTTAATTTAGTTTTATTTTTTTGAAGTAATCTTTATGCCCAACGTGGAGCTTGAACTCACAGCCCTGAGCTACATGCTCCGCAGACTGAGCCAGCCAGGTGCCCAAAGTCTTTAAATTTACATTTAAAACATGCCCTTCTTGGGGTGCTTGGGTGGCTCAGTCAGTTAAGCATCTGCCTTTGGCTCAGGTCATGATCCCAAGGTCCTGGGATTGAGCCCCACATCAAGCTCCTTGCTCAGCAGGGAGTCTGTTTCTCCCTCTCCCTCTGACTGCTGCTCCCCCTGCTTGTGTTCTCTCTGTCAAATAAATAAATACAATCTTAAAAAAAACAAACATGCCCTTCTTACTTCGCCAGTAGGCATTCTAATGTAGTGTTAGACTACTACTGACCTCCTGACAATATGTCAGAAGGAGGATCATCTGCTCCTGGAGCACGGTTATATGTATATATGTACATCATTGTAAGGTTAATCCCTTACTATTCCTATCTCCATTTATTCCTAATACTAACTGTATCTTATAGCTCAGTTTCCTCTGGATAAACTCTCCCACTTTTACAACTTTATTCAATACTGATTTCTTGGAAATCTTGGAAAACTCCATTTTTCTTTCAAATTTTATGGTTCCTTCAGAGTCCCACCTTCTGATGCTGCTTCTGTGATACCTCCTTTTGACTTATCAAAGCTTTTACTATCCATTCTTGGCAATTATAATATACTATCCTGCTTTGTATTGTTAGTTAATTTTCCCTTTGTGTACTTTGTCTTTCTTATTAGAGTATAAATTCCTTTGTGTCAGGAACTATTTTATAGTTCTTTGTATGAAATGTAACCCTTTCTACAGTTTTTATTGATGAAACATTTATCTAAATTGTGGTTTATTACTCAGTACTTCCTATCATTTACTGAGTGCTTATTATGTCTAAACACTTTATACTAAGCGTAATCAACCTAATAAGATAGGTGCTACAGTAGTCCTGCCTGACCTGTGATTTCACTTTCCTCAGTTTCACTTACCTGCTGTCAACTGTGGCCCAGGAGCAGATGATCGATCCTCCTTATGACATTTTGTCAGGAGGTCAGTAGTAGTCTAACACTACATTAGAATGCCTACAACATTCACCTCACTTCATCTCATTGTGTAGGCATTTTATCATCTCACATCATCACAAGAGGAAGATGAAAGATGAGTACAGTACAAGATAGTTTGAGAGAGAGAGACCACATTCACATAACTCTTATTATAGTATATTGTTACAGTTGTTCTATTTTGTTATTGTTGTTAATCCCTTACTCTGACTAATATATAAGTTGAAGTTTCTCATAGATATGTATGTACAGGAATAAAACATAGTATATATAAGTTTCAGAAGTATCCTCAATTTCAGGCATCCATTGGAGGTCTTGGAAACTATCCCCCTGCAGATAAAGGGAGGATTTCTTTATTATTATCTCCATTTTACAGATGAGAAGACTGAAAATAGAATTTAAACTACTTGTCTAATGTCACTCTGCTAGTGATTAGTAGAGCTGCTAATTTGAACCTAGGGATTCTTGTTCCAGAGCCTTAAACTGCTGTGTAATTCTGTTTTTCTATATGTTATTTTGGAATTTGTTTATCTAATTTCCCCATGTTTTGTCCTTCCTGTTATATTATCAGGCAGTATCTTGATTATTTCTATGTTTCTTCCTGTTTAATAAATCCTCAAACTCCAGTGCAGTTATTTGGATCAGTATTAAACACTTAAAAAATGAATAAAAATGAAGGTGACACTTGTTTATTTGGCTATTATCCCCATTGCTAATGCTAACATTTTCTGTTTAAATTTCAGGGCATTTGAATCTGAAATTCGATTTTACACTGGAAATGACCCTCTGGATGTTTGGGATAGGTGGGTCTTTTTTCATTTAACAAGGGCACTAGAAACTTAACAGATGAGTCCTTATGGCCATGCTTCTCAAATTAGGGTGTACAGAGCAATGTCAGAGTACAAAGTGGTATCTTGGGGACACAGAGAGACAGATTAATCACAGTGTTTCTTTCTGAGGTGTTCACGACTGAAGAAATTTCAAATTTGTGGCATGCATCTGAGAACTACACCCTTTTATCTCCAAACCCATTATTTTCCAGAGGCACATGTTAGCAATATTTGGAAAAGTTTGAGGGATATAGGTTTAGGACATGAGGGCCTCTCTAAATAAACATACTTTCAAATTAGATATTTCTGCTTAAGAAAGTCAAGAATGGGTCTTGGTGCAAGAATAAAAGTACACATTAAACTTTAAAATTATTCTTTTGTGGCACCTGTGTGGCTCAGTTGGCTAAGAATCTGCCTTCGGCTCAGGTCATGATCCCAGGGAGTCCTAGGATCGAGTCCCGCAGCGGGCTCCCTGCTCAGGGGGATGTCTGCTTCTCCCTCTCCCCCTGCTCCTTCTCTTGCTCCCTCTCTCTCTCAAGTAAAATCTTTAGAAGTAAATAAGTGAGTAAATAAATAAATAAAATTATTCTTTCCCTTTCCATTTAGGTATATTAATTGGACAGAGCAGAACTATCCTCAGGGGGGGAAAGAGAGTAATATGTCAACATTATTAGAAAGAGCTGTTGAAGCACTACAAGGAGAAAAACGATACTATAATGATCCCCGATTTCTTAGTCTCTGGCTTAAATTGGTAAGTCTTTCTTAAGTGCTGTTTGAATGTAAAATATTAAGCCAGGAGATTTTCTCTAGAGCTTTCTGGTACACACCAAAAAAATGGCAAAACTTGAGCCATTTAGTAGGTACTAAACATTTAATACATGCTCAATATTTGTTAAATTAGTTCTACTTAAAGATGGATTTTAATGTAAAGGTTTTTTTTTTTAACCCCTTTAAAAGTGATCATAAGGCCTGTATACCTCCTCATGGGAGTGGAGTATTTATTTCAAATATAATTGGGCCATGCAACTGTACTGGGGGAGGCCATGTAGGAGCCAACACATGGCAGTAGTATGATTGTGAAAAAGTTTTTGTTGGGGCACCTGGGTGGCTCAGTTGGTTAAGCGACTGCCTTCGGCTCAGGTCATGATCCTGGAGTCCCGGGATCGAGTCCCGCATCGGACTCCCTGCTCGGCGGGGAGTCTGCTTCTCCCTCTGACCCTCCCCCCTCTCATGCTCTCTCTATCTCATTCTCTCTCTCAAATAAATAAATAAAATCTTTAAAAAAAAAAAAAAAAAAGTTTTTGTAGGTGATTCTGGTATCCCTTTGGCCCCTTTCTGAGAATCAACACCATGAAAAGGTAATGTTTTTTATGTAGTATATTGCTACATCCAAAAATATCTGCCTGACCACTTTATACTGTCTCATTTGACATGTAGTTCTTTTATTTCTAGAACACTCTTGAGGATTTTTTTATGAAAACATCTTCGAATAAGATAATGACCAGAATTTCTTAGATACTAATTTCATTGCCTTTATCCTAAAAGAGATTAGAAAAAGTAAGTGATAAATATTTAGAATAGAATGTTAGATAATAGAAAATTAGATAATGGATAACTAGATACTTATAAAAATAAATTATTTTTCTTAAAAATAAAAAATGAACTATAAAAATAGATAATTATATAATAGAATTCTAAATAATAGAATATTTACAACAACCATTGTAATATGATAGAATATTGACATTTGAAATTGATAAAATTTCTGGCTAAAATATATCTCTTGAGGAGAGCTTATCTTAAACCTCAAATATCACTAAAAAAGGAAATTAGGTGAGTCCTGAAGGCATAAGCTATCTTGGTTTCCATAGGACATTTGACATATGTTGGCATCATTATTAACAAGTTGGAGAAATTATCTGTAGGGTATTAGTGACAGGAGTCTATGACAAAGGATGGTACCCAAAGCATGTTGTTAGCATGGAGACTATGGTCCCTGGTAGCTTACTAATGGATTTTGTTCTTCATTCCATCCTACATAATATTCTTATCCTAAATAACATTCTTATATGTGATTTACTAAAAGTTTGGACTAGATAAACCTCTAAAGTAATTCTTTATCCCAGAATTCTATGATTATATTTAGTTGGAGCTATTAAAAGTAACAGCTGGAATAATTTTTCTGTTCATAAATGCTAACCTGGTGCTGGTACTGAAGAGTAATGATATTATCATAAAATAAAAAGCATAGTCTAGACCAGAGCTACTGAAGAATGGTCTGCAGACTGTTCAAGATAAGTATAAAAGTTCAGAGCAAGCATTTAGAAGTTTTGCTAAGTTTTGTTAACAAATTTGACATTGCCACAACATCCAAACACATCATCATTTTTCTAGTAACTTCTATTTTTATTGTATTTTTTAAAAATACTAGTCAACAATGGGGAAAAAGAATACCAGTCAATAGTGGAATGGAAACTTGAAACACACACCAAAACTAGCCCCTTTCCCACAGGCAATCTGAGAATCGCTGGTCTAGACAACCCTCAGATTCAAATGATCAGCCCTAGTATGATCAGCAATAATCTGAACTTTGTAGATGGTTAACAGGGTGCATATTGAACTATTTTGCTGAGGTTTTTCTCTTTATGGAATGGTCAAGAGGAGTAACAGTTGGGTTCCTCACACTACTTTCTTTGCTTTGCAGAAAAATTTCTCCAGTCTAAGAGTTATTTTTGTAAGGGATAACTACAATCTAGCTAAGGAAAAAATTGTTTTTAGGAAATATCCAGGATTTTTAGTTAAAAGTGTAAAATTGTTTTAGTTGGCTTGTTAGAGGTTACCAAAAAGATTTGTTTAACTTTTGGATATATTAATCTAACCATGTGGTCCTTTTATTTATGTTATTTCTTAAGTAATCTCATTCAGACTCTAGAATAACCTGATATTTATTGGCTGTTTCATGCTGAACCAGAGCTATTTAGAAAGCCATTAACAAGTGCAGTCAATGTTAACCTTTATTTATGTAGTAACAGATATCAAGGACTGGATCTGATACTGATAACATATTCAGAATTAGAACTTCGCTTGAATTGCCATCACATATGGGAAAACATCACTCATTTGGATAAGTGAAAAACTAGTTACTGAATTACTACAGAATTAAACTATAAAATACTAATTGTTTTGTCAAAGATGTAAATGGAGCATTTCATTTATTCAATTTTCTACCAGACCCTGGCTAGGGATTAGGATATAGTGGATAGTAATGTTTTGTGCCTTTGTGGAGCTTACTTTATTGGAAAAGACAGATGTTAAGCATTTAATTGTCACAAAAGAGAAAGCAGGAAAGTATTGAGTTGCATAGGAGGGAATATATACAAGGAGGACTTAACCTAGGCTAGACAATCAGGAACAGATAGAGATGAGAGAAAATATATCTAGTAAATAAACAGGAGAAAATGTTAGCCTCCTTAGTAGTATAAGAACTCCTAATTAGAACACTGAAATGCAATTTTTATATGAAATTAGAAACTTAAAAATAGGTATTTTCTGTGAAATTAGTATTTGGGAATAACTACTAGCATTTTAAATTTGTACAACCCTCTTAGAAAGCAAGTTGTTACTTTTTAGGGTGCCTGGGTGGCTCAGTTGGTTAGGCGGCTGCCTTCGGCTCAGGTCATGATCCTGGAGTCCTGGGATCAAGTCCCACATCGGGCTCCCTGCTCCTCAGGGAGTCTGCTTCCCCCTCTGCTGCTCCCCCTGCTCCCCCTGCTCCCCCTGCTCCCGCTCTCTCTCTCTCTGTGTCAAATAAATAAATAGATAAAAATCTTTAAAAAAAAAAAGCAATTTGTGACTTTTTAACATAGTTCTAGTTCTGAAAATTTATCTTAAGGCAGTAATATGAACATGAAAGGTTGTGTGCATGACAATGTTTGTTATAGAATTATATGTAATTGGGCAAAGTAGAAACTGCATATCCAAAAAATAGGGGAGTGGCTAAATGATGGAAGATTATTGGATGGAACATTATTTATCTAAAAATAATAAAGAATAAGCAGCAGCATGGAAAAATGAATGATGGACGGTTCGATGGATGGTTAAGTAGAATAAAAGCAAATTTTCTTATGATTAAAACTTTATAAAATGATAAAAAACCCTTTTGTGCTATATAAAATGATATATGTTCTTTTTTTCCTCAAGGAAAAAATATATATCAAACTGTTAATAATGTGGGATTTTTATTGACTCATTACCCTATCTTCTTACTACTAGAATTATCTACATTTTATCTGGTCTTATAAGATCCTTCTAAAATACAGATTTGACCATGTCATTCCTTTGCTTATAGCTCTCCCACCCCAACACACATACATTCACTATCAGGTAGGTTTAAAATTAATTGTCTTGACATTTAAGACCTGTCACACCCTTTTTTCCAAGCTCCTGTCTTGTCTGCATCTCTATAAACTTTTAGTTTCTGTCTTTGCTTATACCATTTTCTCTGTGTAGAATGCCTTCCTTTCCCATTCTCTACCAGATGTAAGTCTATTCCTCCCTCAAGGCCACACTCAAAAATGTCATACCTTCTTGAAGTCTTTCCTTCTCATCCCTTTTTCTTACAAATTAATCTCTTTTGTCTACTTTTTAACTCTTCCCAGTGTAGTCTTTATAACATTGCATTATAATAGATAAATATTTTTTCAATGCAGAAACTACATATAGTAACTCCAGTGATTACTTGGCACATAAAAGACAGTAAGTGAATAGAAATTGGTTGACTGTTAATGCTTTTAATTTGTTACAGGGACGTTTATGCAATGAGCCTTTGGATATGTACAGTTATTTACACAGCCAAGGGATCGGTGTTTCACTTGCTCAGTTCTATATCTCATGGGCTGAAGAATATGAAGCTAGAGAAAACTTTAAGAAAGCAGATAAGATATTTCAGGAAGGGATTCAACAGAAGGCCGAACCACTGGAACGACTGCAGTCACAGCACCGGTAAACTTCTCGAGCTTGTCTTCACTCTTTAAAACTAATAGATAAAAATAGTTGGTTTTGCATCTGAATAAAATGCTCTCATGGATTGGCAAATTTACTTAGTTACTATTTAATTTTTTAAAAGACCAATTTTTATTTAACATTTAGTAAAATCTACTCTTTGGTGTACAATTCTGTAAGTTTTCACAAATGAATAGAGACATGTAACCATTACCATGATCAAGTTTCACCACTCCATAGAATTTCCTTATGCTCTCTCCCTTAGTAGTTTAACACTTACTCTCATTCCCAAACCCTGGCAACCACTGATCTAGTCTCTAGCCCTGTAGTTTTGCCTTTTCCATGATATCACATAAATGGCATCATACAATGTAGCCTTTTGAGTCTGACTGCTTTCATTTAGCATAATGCATTTCAGTTGTTAAATTGGTTCTACTGTAAAGATGGATTTTATATGTATATTCTGAATACAAGTCTTTTGTCAGGTATGTGACTTGTAAATCTTCTCCCAGTTTAACTGTGATCTGTTTGTTCTCTTAGCAGTGTGTTTTATAGAACAAAATTTTTAATTTTGAAGAAGTCTAACTTATTTATTTTTTGTGTGAATCATGCTCTTGGTATATCTGAGAACTCTGTTTAGCGAAAGATTGCAAACATTTTGTTTTCATCTTGAAATTTAAAAAAAAAAATTTTGAGTATAGTTGATACACAACCGTTGCATTAGCTTCAGGTGTATAAGATAGTGATTCTACAAGTTGATACATTATGCTGTACTCATTGCAAGTATAGCTATTATCTGTCACCATACAAAGCCCTTATAATATCACTGACTATATTTCTTTCTTTTTTTTTTTTTTAAGATTTTATTTATTTATTTGACAGAGAGAGACACAGCGAGAGAGGGAACACAAGCAGGGGGAGCAGGAGAGGGAGAAGCAGGCTTCCCACTGAGCAGGGAGCCCGATGCGGGGCTCGATCCCAGGACCCTGGGATCATGACCTGAGCCGAAGGCAGACGCTTAACCGACTGAGCCACCCAGGCGCCCCCACTGACTATATTTCTTATGCTATACCTTTTATTCCCATGACTTACTCATTCTATAACTGGAAGCCTGTGTCTCCCTCTCCTTTTCACTCATTTTGCCCAGCCCACGCACCCCCGTCCCCTCTGGCAACCATCAGTTTGTTCTCTGTATTTATAGGTCTTAGTCTGCTTTTTGTTTGTTTATTCCTTTTTTTTTCCTTTTAGATTCCACATGAATGAAATCATACGGTATTTTTCTTTCTCAGTCTGACTTATTTCACTTAGCATAATGTGCTGTAGGTACATCCATGTTGTCACCAGTGGCACCATCTCATGCTTTTTTATGGCTCCCTAATATTCCATTATATATACATATCTTCCTTATCTATTTGACTATTGATAGACACTTAGGTTGCTTCTATATCTTAGCTATTGTAAATACTGCAATAAACATAGGTGTGCATATATCTTTTTGAATTAGTGTTTTTGTTTTCTTTGGGTAAATACCCAGTAGTAGAATTACTGTATTATATGGTATTTCTATGTTTAATTTTTTCTTAAAGATTTATTTATTTATTTGAGAGAGAGAGAGCACACTAGTAGGGGTAGGGGCAGAGGTAGAGAAATCTTCACTCCCCCCTGAGGGCGGAGCCCGACATGGGCTTAATCCCATGACCTGTGAGATCATGACCTGAAACCAAGAGCTGGACGCCCAACAGATTGAACCACCCAGGTGCCCCAGTCTTGAAGTTTTTATAGTTTTATTTTTTATATTTAGCTCTCTGATCCATTTTCAGTTAATTTTTTTAGAAAGTATTGATCAAAAAAAAAAAAGTATTGATCAAGGTTCTTTTTTTTTGCATACGAACCCCCATTTGTTCTTGTACCACTTGTTGAAAAGATTTTCTCCATTGAATTGACTTTGCACCTTTGTCAAAAATCATATTTGACATAAAAAAAAAAGTATTTGTGTAGGTTTATTTCTGTTATTCTGTTCTTTTGATCTGTGTATCTGTTAATTAGTGTACCATGGTATCTAGGTTGCTGTACCTTTATACTTTATAGTAAGTCTAGAAATCGGGTAAATATGAGACCTCCACCTTCGTTCTTCTTTTTAGCCCTTCTGGTTCTTTGACTTTCTGTATAAGTGTTAGAATTAGCTTCCAGAAATTGGATAGCCACATGCAGAAGAATGAAACTGGACCATTTCCTTACACCACACACAGAAATAGACTCCAAATGGTTGAAAGACCTCAATGTGAGACAGGAGTCCATCAAAATCCTAAAGGAGAACACAGGCAGCAACCTCTTCGACCTCAGCCACAGCAACTTCTTAGAAACATCACCAAAGGCAAGGGAAGGAAGGGCAAAAATGAACCATTGCGACTTCATCAAGATAAAAAGCTTTTGCAAAGCAAAGGAAACAGTCAACAAAACCAAAAGACAACCGACAGAATGGGAGAAGATATTTGCAAATGACATATCAGATAAAGGGCTAGTATCCAAAATCTATAAAGAACTTATCAAACTCAACACCCAAAGAACAAAGAATCCAATCAAGAAATGGGCAGAAGACATGAACAGACATTTTTCCAAAGAAGACATCCAAATGGCCAACAGACACATGAAAAAGTGCTCAATATCACTCGGCATCAGGGAAATCCAAATCAAAACCTCAATGAGATACCACCTCACACCAGTCAGAATGGCTAAAATTAACAAGTCAGGAAACGACAGATGTTGGCGGGGATGCGGAGAAAGGGGAACCCTCCTACACTGTTGGTAGGAATGCAAGCTGGTGCAGCCACTCTGGAAAACAGTATGGAGGTTACTCAAAAAGTTGAAAATAGAGCTACCATATGATCCAGCAATTGCACTACTGGGTATTTACCCCAAAGATACAAAAGTAGGGATCCAAAAGGGTACGTGCACCCCGATATTTATAGCAGCAATGTCCACAATAGCCAAACTGTGGAAAGAGCCAAGATGTCCATCGACAGATGAATGGAAAAAGAAGATGTGGTATATTTATACAATGGAATATTATGCAGCCATCAAAAGGAATGAGATCTTGCCATTTGCAACGACATGGATGGAACTGGAGGGTATTATGCTGAGCGAAATAAGTCAGAGAAAGACATGTATCATATGACCTCACTGATATGAGGAATTCTTAATCTCAGGAAACAAACTGAGGGTTGCTGGAGTGGGGGGGTGGGTGGAAGGGATGGGGTGACTGGGTGATAGACACTGGGGAGGGTGGAGGGTATGTGCTCTGATAAGCGCTGTGAATTGTGCAAGACTGTTGAATCTCATATCTGTACCTCTGAAACAAATAATGCAATATATGTTAAGGAAAAAAAAAAAAGAAGAAGATAGCAGGAGGGGAAGAATGAAGGGGGTGAAATCGGAGGGGTAGACGAACCATGAGAGACGATGGACTCTGAAAAACAAACTGAGGGTTCTAGAGGGGAGGGTGGTGGGAGGATGGGTTAGCCTGGTGATGGGTATTGAGGAGGGCACGTTCTGCATGGAGCACTGGGTGTTATGCACAAACAATGAATCATGAAACACTACATCTAAAACTAATGATGTAATGTATGGGGATTAACATAACAATAAAAAAATTTAAAAAAAAAGAATTAGCTTCCAGGATTTTGACTAGTATTTTGCATAAACTTGGTATATTTCTCCATTTATTTAGATCTTTGATTTCTTTGAGTAAGCTTTGGTAGTATTTGTCTTTTGAGGAATTGACTCTTTCATCTATGAGGTTATGAGCATAGAGTTGTTTATAGTATTTATTTTCCTATTAATGTTTGTAGGTTATATAGTGATCTCCCCTCTTTCATTCCTGATATTGGTAATTTGTGTCTTCTCTTTTTACCTCAGTCTGGCTAGAAGTTTATCGATTTTATTGATCTTTTTAGGGAACCAGCTTTTGGTTTCATTGCTTTTTCTTGATTGATTTTTTTTCTTCTTATTTTTATTAATTTCTGCTTTTTATTATTTCCTTCTTTGTGCTTGCTTTGAGTTTAACTTGCTCTTTTTCTGGTTTAAGATGATAGCCTATTTCACTAATTCTAGATCTTCTTATCTAATATAAAACTTTCTTTCTAAACACTGCTTTAGCTATCTTCCACAAATTCTGACATAATACTGTATTTTTCATTTTCATTCAGAACAACATTTTTTAATTTCCCATATGTTGTCCCTTTGACTCATGGGTTATTTAGAAGTATATTAATTAAAAAAAAATTTTTTTTTAAGATTTTTTTTATTTATTTATTTGAGACAGAGAGAATGAGAGAGAGAGAGCACATGAGAGGGGGGAGGGTCAGAGGCAGAAGCAGGCTCCCTGCTGAGCAGGGAGCCCGATGCGGACTCGATCCAGGGACTCCAGGATCATGACCTGGGCCGAAGGCAGTCACTTAATCAACTGAGCCACCCAGGCGCCCTAGAAGTATATTAATTTAATTGGGAAATGTTTAGAGATTTTTCAGATGTCTCTCTGTTACTGATTTCTAGTTTAATTCCATTATGGTCAGAGAACATAATTTGTATGGTTTCAGTTTTTTTTAATTTGTTAAGTTTTGTTTTATGGCCCAGAATATGGTCTGTCGTTGGTGAATATTCCATGGACACTTGAAAAATATGTGTTTTCTGCTGTTTAGGGATGGAATGTTTTTTATATGTCACGTAGGTCAAGTTGATAGGTCGTCTGTTCTGGTCTTCTGTTTCCTTGCTGATTTTCTATCTACTTGTTCTATCAGTTACTGAGAGAGGAATTTTGAAGTCCCTTTTATTATGACTTTGTCTATTTTTCCCTAAGTCCCATTTGTTTTGCTTTATATATTTTGAAGTTCTGAAGCATGCACATTTAGAATTGACCCCTTTGTCAGTATATAATGTCTCTCTTTATCCCTGGTCATACACGTTCTGAAGTCTCCTTGGTCTGCTACTAGCACAGCCACTCTGGCGTCCTTTTGTTTATATGCTATATCTTTTTCCTTCCCTTTTTTTTTTTTTTAACAGTTTTAGAGTTGTGTGACCATCACCACTGTCTAATTTTAGAACATATTTAACACCCCAAAATGAAGCCCATACTCATTAGCACTCACTCCCCATTCCCTCTCACCCACTTCCAGGCAACCAGTTATCTGCTTTCTCTCTCTAGATTTGCCTATTCTGGGCTTTGCACATAGATGGAATCCTATGTTATGTGGTCTGTTGTGACTGGCTTCTTTCACTTAGCATACTGTTTGGAAGGTTCATCATAGTATATTCATCACTGATGAACATAGTTGTGTCGTATATTAGTATTTCATTCCCTTCTATTGCTCAGTAATAACCCATTCAGTGACTATGCCACATTTTGCTTATCCATTCATGCAATAATGAACATTTAGGTTGTTTCCATTTTTTGGCTCTTGTGAAACAATGCTGCTGCAAACATTCATGATGCAGGCTTTTGTATGGATTTTCTTTCATTGTTATTCCATGTCTTCATGTTTAAAGTGGGTTTTTCATCACAGCAAATAGTTGGGTCTTGTTTTTTCCTCAGCTCTCACAATATCTTTTTAAATGGTGTATTTAGAACATTTAATTATTAATTGGATTGGATTTAGATCTATTATTTTCTTATTTGTTCTCAATTTGTTCTCTATCTTTTGTTCCTCTGTTGCCTCTTTCCTGCCTTCTTTTGGATTGTGTGAATTTTTTTTTTTTTTTTAAGATTTTATTTATTTATTTGCGAGAGAGAATGAGAGACAGAGAGCATGAGAGGGAGGAGGGTCAGAGGGAGAAGCAGACTCCCCGCTGAGCAGGGAGCCCGATGCGGAACTCGATCTCAGGACTCCAGGATCATGACCTGAGCCGAAGGCAGTCACTTAACCGACTGAGCCACCCAGGCGCCCAGTGAATATTTTTTAATATTTCATTTTAATTTATTTTATTGGCTTTTTTTTTGTCTGTTACTATTTTTTTTAGTGGTTGTCTAGGGTATATTATAAACAGACCTGATCTTTCATGGTCTACTTAGGGTTGATATTTTACCACTTCAAGTAAAAAAATAAAGAAGCTTTATAACCATATAGGTCCCTTGATCTTCCCTACTTTTTTGGTATACTTGTCATATGTATTACATCTACATACATTGAAAACCCCACCAGACAATGTTATAATTTTTGTTTTCAACAGCCTTAACATATTTAAAGAACTTTGGAGGAAAATGGTCTTTTGTATTTATCATTTTGTTCTTCCTTCATTCCTGAAGTCCCAAGTTCTCCTCTAGTATAATTTCCCTTTAGCCTGAAGAGGTTTGTTTAGACATTCATTTAGAGTGAGCCTATGGCTAATAAATTTCCTTAGTTTTCTTCATCTGAGAATGATTTCATTTCATCCTCATTCCTGAAGGATATTTTCACTGGATGTAGAATTCTGGGTCAACAGTTCTTTTCTTTTTTCTCTTTTTAAATTTAATTTATTTATATGAGAGAGAGAGAGAGAGCATGAGCAGTGGGGAGGGGCAGAGGGCAAGGGAGAAGAGCAGACTCCCCACTGAGCAGAGAGCCGGAAGCGGGGCTCCATCCCAGGACCCTGGGATCATGACCTGAGATGAAGGCAGACGCTTAATGACTGAGCCACCCAGACACCCCTCAATAGTTCTTTAATTTCAATGCTTTAAAAATGTTGTTGCACTGTCTTCTGGACTCCATGATTTCTGATGAGAATGGTTCCTTCTCTATATGTAATATGTTGATTTTCTCTGGGTGCATTTAAGATTTTTCTCTTTTCTTTTTTTAAGATGTTATTTATTTGACAGAGAAAGAGAGCGTGCGCACAAGCCAGGGGTGGGGGTTGTAGAGAGAGAAGCAGACTTCCCGCTGAGCAGGGAGCCTGATGTGGGACTCGATCCCAGGACCCTGGGATCATGACCTGAGCCGAAGGTAGACACTTTGGTTTTTTTTAAGATTTTATTTATTTATTTGACAGAGAGAGAGAGAAAGTGAGAGAGCACAAGCAAGGGGAGAGGGAGAGGGAGAAGCAGGCTTCCCGCTGAGCAAGGAGCCCAATGCAAGACTCGATCCCAGGACCCTGGGATCATGACCTGAGCTGAGGCAGACGCTTAACCGACTGAGCCACCCAGGCGCCCCTGTTTTTGTTTTTAATTTTTTAACCTTTCTTTTTTCTGTTCTTCAGAATGGCTAATTTTTGTTGATTGGTCCTCAAGTTCATTTACTCTTTCCTTAGCCATCTCCATTCTGATATTGAGTTCATCCAGTGAATTTTTTATTTCAGATAATGTGTTTTTCAGGTCTAAATTTTCCATTTGATTCTTTTTTATAGTGTTTGTGTCTCTGCTGAGAACTTCTGTCTTTCTATTTATTTCAGATATTTTTACCTTTATCTCTCAGAACGTCGTTATAATAGCTGCTTTTAAATTTCTGTCTGGAAATTCCCAACACCTAGGTCATCTTGATTTTGATTGATTGCCTTTTTCTTTGAGAATTGATCACATTTTCCTGGTTCTTTGTCTGTCAGGTCATTTTGGATTATATCCTGGACATTTATCCTGTTACTATGTTATTAGACTCTGAGTCCTATTGGTTGATTTTCTCTGGGGAATGTTGATATTTTGTCTTAGTAGGCAACCAACCCTCAGATATCACAAGTTCTTTCTCTGATGGATAGTGGTTCCATTGACAGTTCAATTTTCAAGACATTTGGGTCTATCCCACATGTAGGCTGCTCAGGGGTTAGTCTAGGACTTGCGCAATGGTTTATATCATAGTTCACTTCTCAAAGCCTTTTTTGTGCTACTTTGGGCCTGCCTTCTGCATGCATAGCTCAGGAGTGAGTCCAGGGCTTGTGCCAATTCATGTAGAGAATTAGGAGATCCCCTTCTTCGGCTCGTCCTCTCTAGTACCTCTCCCACATTCGTTGGCCCTCAGAGTCCCCTTTTCCCAGTACTCTGGACAGAAAGATGAGGTTTTAGCTTCCCACACCATCGTTGCAACAATTTTAAACCACAAGAGAAAAGAGAAGAAGAAAAAAAAAAAAACAGGAAACAACCCTGTGTGGTTTGTTTCTTCAAGTTTGACTCCTCTCTACAGTCCACTTGCTTTTGTTTACTTTTCAGAGGCCTCAGTTGCTTTTTTTGTATTTTGTTTAGAGTTTTTAATTCTACCCAGTGAGAGAGAGGCTATCACGGGCTTATTCCGTCTTGGCCAGCACTTGCAGTTTATTCTGTTTTTTTACCCTTTTGATAATACGGAAAGCTTTGACAACAGCACAGGAAGTTAAATCTTCAAACTTCTGCCAGCTGTGCTGAAGTAAAATGACATGTGGGATACAACTTCGTTTCATATGGTTTGGGAAAAAATGGTATGGAGCTGAGCAATGTGCCTAGTGAGAGCAAGAGACATAGACAGTGATAAAAGAGATGTGGCAAGACATTGACAGTTGTGAATCTAGGTGAAGAGTATATGGGTGCTCATTTACTCTTCCAACTATTTTGTAAGTTTAAAAAGTTGATGGGAAACTCCGGCCTTAATAAATTCTTTAATCTTAGTCACCCTGATCTGATCCTCAGATCAGCCTAATGGTGCTCTTCAGAGTATGCTAATTGGTTGAACGTGGACATTTAAAGGGGAAGTTAAATCATCCTATTCCAAACTTTCTCTGATTTCAAGGTAGCTTTCTTTATTCCTGAGAGAATAAACACTTTCTTTGGGCTGTTTCTCTATATTTCTTCTCCCTTGTTTAATAAATTAGAAATTTTGATTCTGGTGAGTAGTGTTCATCTCCCCCAAAAGTTAATTGTCCATTCTCTTACTTTTAGACAATTCCAAGCTCGAGTGTCTCGGCAAACTGTTTTGGCACTTGAGAAAGAAGAGGAGGAGGAAGTTTTTGGATCTTCTGTACCACAACGAAGCACACTGGCTGAACTAAAAAGCAAAGGAAAAAAGACAGCAAGAGCTCCAATCAGCCGTGTAGGAGGTGCTCTTAAGGGTAAGTTTGTTAAGTGTTATTATGGGAAGCTCTTAGTCTCGGGTGGTAGGCAAATTATGTAAAGAGATAATGTATAAATATATATGTGGACGCTGTCCTAGTTTTCTGAATACTAGGTAGCAAAAAGAAGGAAGTCTTCAGAGAGCTGAGATTACAGTATGCAGTAAAAGCAAAACATGTCAGCAATTTTGTGTCTTAATTAAGAAAAACCTAATATATAGGAAGCATCAGGAGTTTCTGAGTTTGAATTGTTAGTAGAAAGAAGAATGCAATAATATAGCCAGTATTGTCAAAGTGAAGCTTACATGTACCAGAGCCTCAGAAAATGTATTAACGTGGTCTTCAGGTTTTTGGGGCCAGAAATTGGACTCTCTTTGTATACCTAAAGATGATCACTAATAAGCTTTCTTTCTTTCTTTTTTTTTTTTTTAAATTAACTATGTTTAGGGAAGTTTTAGATTCACAGCAAAATTGAGTAGAAAGTACAGAGAGCAGTAAGCTTTTACTAACTACATTTATAGCAGTTAGATGGATAGACCAGAATTTAAAAAACTCTCTTATTCCTTTTACGGTATCAACTTACCAGTATTCAAAATATTACTTGTAGATCCTAGAATTAGGGTATAGGGAGTATATAGACCTAAAGAATATTTCATCCAGGGGCGCCTGGGTGGCTCAGTCTAAGCGTCTGCCTTCAGCTCAGGTCATGATCCCAGGGTCCTGGGATCGAGCCCCGCATCAGGCTCCCTTCTCAGCGGGAAGCCTGCTTCTCCCTCTCCCACTACCCCCTGCTTGTGTTCCTCTCTCGCTGTGTCTCTCTGTGTCAAATAAATAAATAAAATCTTAAAAAAAAAAAAAAAAGAGTATTTTATCCAGATCATAATGAAGCTTGATTGTAATAAGGAGCCCCACAACAGAGAACACCCCTAATAAATGGGCTAATTTGTCTTCTCTAGATTCAGCACATTTCAGCTGATTTCCATTGAGAGAAAAATTTTAAATTGACAAATGAGGATTTAGGTTAGGGTAGTCTCTGAGAAAACTAGGTAGTGTTAGAATGATGATTGAAGGAAGATGTAGAATTTTTTTTTTTAAGATTTTATTTATTTATTTATTTGTCAGAGAGAGAGAGAGTGATCAGCTTCCTGCTGAGCAAGGAGCCCAATGTGGGACTCAAACCCAGGACCCTGGGATCATGACCTGAGCCGAAGGCAGACGTTTAACCATCTGAACCACCCAGGCATCCCAAGTTTTTTTTAACATATCTTTAAATAAAAGACTGGAGGTGAGGTAAAGGAGGGAGAGTATAAGTAACAAACAGAATGGATTAAAAAGTTAATTTAATTCATGTAAAGTTTTAAAAAAATTGTTTAAAAAAATCTCTTTGTTTCTATGGTGGTAGAGGTAATCTCCTTGATTTTAGGAAGGATTAGGTATTCCTTATCTGGCATCTGAGTTGATAATTAAAGATTTTACATAAAATTTTAATATTTTTCTCCTAGCTCCAAACCAGAACAGAGGACTCCAAAATCCAGTTCCTCAACAGATGCAAAGTAATTCCAGAATTACTATTTTTGATGAAAATGCTGATGAGGCTTCTAGAGCAGAGTTGTCTAAGCCTACAGTTCAGCCATGGATAGCACCCCCTGTGTCCAGGGCCAAAGAGAACGAGCTGCAGCCAGGCCCTTGGAACACAGGCAGGCCTTTGGAATACAGGGTAAGGACTCTTAGATCCAGTGTACTTGCCAACATAACAAAAAATTCAGATTTAGAGTAGAGGAGTGTTTTTAGCATCTCTTTTGATTCCTCCTGAATGATTAGGCCTGACCTGCATATACTTTGTCAGAATGTATAACTGTGGTAATTGTCATCTTCTTCTTCGTCGCCAGCCTCATGGTGGTACAGCTTCTGTGACCACTATACCCTCTCTGCTTCCCAGTTTTACTCCATATGTTGAAGAAACTGCACAACAGCCAGTGATGTGAGTTTGATTTCCTGATATTTTGAGGTGGGAATTATTAAGAGTGAGCAGGAGCACCTATTCTGGTTCCCAAAAGCATTTCCTTCTTTGTGGGGATGAAAGTAACCAGACAAATTGTGTTTTTTAAATGTCTATGTTCTCTAGAGTATGTTAGGGCCAAAAGACCATTTGATAATATTCTTATTAAGGAATAAACTTCATAGGCTTATATTTACATTGTTTTAGTCAAAGATAATCACTTTGACTTAAGTGAGATGTTCTACCTTTGTTATTGACAGTAATTAGAAAATATGATAGTTTTTCCTTTTACCCTGCTCTTTCCTTCTGGATGTCTTTTTCTTTTTCTTCCTAACCCTTAGTATTTCTGTTATAAGAAAAAGAATGATGGGTGATACTTAGATCATCAGGCAGTGTGAGATCTACTCTAATACACACTGCAGAGCATATAATACTAGGGTCAGAGTCTGTGTCCCAGTGCAAGAGTTTTCTCATAACTAATCTATAACCCCTCATCACTATATGCTAGGTACTATAGGAATGCAAAAATAGATAAGATTTATAGCAAAAAATTCTGCCTGATGTGAGTTCAACACAAGGGAGGATATTCTTTTTTTTTTTTTAAAGATTTATTTATTTATTTATTTGACAGAGATACAGCGAGAGAAGGAACACAAGCAGGGGGAGTGGGAGAGGGAGAAGCAGGCTTCCTGCTGAGCAGGGAGCCTGATGCGGGGCTCGATCCCAGGACCCTGGGATCATGACCGGAGCCGAAGGCAGATGCCCAACGACTGAGCCACCCAGGCGCCCCAAGGGAGGATATTCTTAAGAAATTTCTATGAGGGGCATCTGGGTGGTACACTTGGTTGGGTGTCTGACTCTTGGTTTTGCGTCAGGTTGTGATCTCAGGGTCTTGGGATCGTCTGATGGAGACTGCTTGAGACTTTCCCCTGCTCCTCCCCACTGCATTTGCTCTCTCAAGCAGATGAATAAATCTTTTAAAAAAAGAAGAAAAGAAAAAAATCCTATGAGCCTTTACAAAGGATTACTGGAAGAAATTGATAGCACACATTTGTGGATATTTAATTTTTCGAATGTTTCAAATCACCTATAGATAGAATTATGGCAAAATAAATATGGTATAGAAAATGTTGAACTTTATTTTTATTTGAACTCTTCTTCATGGCTGTCTTATTTGACCTGTCTGCAACATTTTCTTTAGTTTGTGTTTTTCTTAATGGTATGTTCCAGGGGCTCTTTATAAATTATATATACATGTTATTATAGATTAAGCTAATCAGCTAAAATCTTTAATAGGAGTTGTGAATATTTCCCCCTAATTTGTCACTTGTTTTTTGATATTGTTTAGCAGTAACCACTAAAAATATATTTCTAATTCCTATATAGATTTAACAGTCTTTTTTATGGTTTCTGTGTCTCCATCATTCTTTGCTGGGATACTGCAAGCTACCTAATCTGTCTACTTCTAGTATTACTCATCCCATTCATTCTTTAGGCTGTGACAGGTCTGCATTGCAAATCTGATTGTCTCAGTTTCCTGATCAGAATCCCTTGCTAGGTCCCCATAACCTTTGGGATGAACCCAAAACTCCTTAAGATTAATTATAAGACTGTTCTTGATTTGGCCTCTGCTAACATCTCCAGTTTCCTTGTTTGTTTGTTTTTTAAGATTTTATTTCTTTATTTGAGAGAGAGAAAGCAAGAGACAGAGCATGAGCAGAGAGGGAAAGGCAGAGGGAGAGGGAGAAGCAGACTCCCCACTGAGCAGGGAGCCCGATGTGGGGCTCCATCCCGGGACCCCAGGATCATGACCTGAGCTGAAGGCAGATGCTTAACTGACTGAGCCACCCAGGCGCCCCTTAACATCTCCAGTTTCCTCCCCCTAATATAGTCAAACCAGACTGTTTGCAAGTTCCTGAACTTGTCTAGAGCAGCTACCCTTTGGACGTTTGGGTTGTTTTTACTTTTTGGCTAATTATGAATAATGCTTCTGTGAACATTTGTGTAAATGGTTTTTTTGTGGACATATGTTTTCATTTCCTATGAGTATATACCTTGGAAGGGAATCGCTGAGTCATATAGTAACTCCATGTTTAACATTTTCAGGAACTGTCAAACTGTTTTCCAAAGAGGTGGCACCATTTTCTGTTCCCAAATTGCCATAATGAATGAGGGTTCCAATTTCTCCACATCCTCACCAACACTTGTTCTTATTCACTTTCTTTTGGTTTTGTTTTTTTGGTTATTGCCATCCTATTGGGTGTGAAGTGGTATCTCATTGTGGTTTTGATTTGCATTTTTCTAATGATTAATGATGTTGAACATCTTTTCGTGGGCTTATTAGCCATTTGTATTTCTTTGGAGAAGTGCCTATTCAAATCCTTTGCCTATTTTTCAACTGGGTTATTTGTCTTTTATTTATTTTTTTATCGATTTTATTTGAGAGAGAGAGAGAGTGAGTATGAGTGGGGGAGAGGGGCAGAGAGAGAGGGAGAAAATCCCAAGTGGACTCCACACTGATGTCTGAGCCTGATGCAGGGCTTGATCCCATGACCCTGAGATCATGCCCTGAGGTGAAATCAAGAGTTGGTCGCCCAACCCACTGAGCCACCCAGGTGCCCCTGTCTTTTTGAATTGTAAGAATTTATATATTCTGAGTACAAGTCCCTTAGCAGATACACGGTTTGCAAATATTTTTTCCCATTCTGTCAGTTGTCTTTTCACTTTCTTTGTTTTTCTTTTCACTTTCTTGATGTTATCTTTTGAATCCCAAAAGGTTTAAAAATTTTAATGAAGTGTAATTTATTTTTTCTTTTGTTTCTTACATTTTTGGTGTTGTATCCAAGAAGGCTTTGCCTAATTCAAGGTCATGAAGATTTACTCCTGTGTTTTCTTCTGAAAGTTCTATAGTTCTAGCTCTTACATTTAGGTCTGTGATCCATTCTTAGCTAATGTTTGTGTGTGATATAAGGAAGGAGTCCTACTTCATTCTTCTGCATGTGGATATACAGTTGTTGCTTGAAAAAACTTCTTTCATCATTAGATGGTCTTGGTACTCTTCTTCTTTTTTTTTTTCAGAGAGGGGGTGGGGAGGGACAGAGGGAGAGAGAGAGAATCTCAAGCAGGCTCCACACCCAGTGCAGAGCCCGCTGCAGGGCTCAATCTCACAACCCTGAGATCGTGACCTGAGCCGAAATCAAGAGTCGGACGCTTAACTGACTGAGACACCCAGGTGCCACAAATGGTCTTGGTACTCTTGTTGAAAATCAGCTGACCATAATGTATGGGTTTATTTTTGAGATTTTTCTATTCCATTGATCTACATGTGTCCTTATGCCATAGCCTTGATTACTGTGGATTTGTTGTAACTTTTGAAATCTAGAAGTTTGAGTCTCCCAACTTAGTTCTTTTTAAAGATTGTTTTGACCATTCTGGTCCCCTTGCAATTCCATCTGAATTTTAGGATTGTTTTGGTAATTTCTGCAAAATAACTGCTGGGATTGTGTTACAGATTGTGCTCTGAATTTGTTGATCAATGTAATGAATATTGCCATCTTGATACTATTAAATCTTCTGATCCATGGACATGAAATATCTTTTATTTATATCTTCTTTCATTTCTTACAACAGTGTTTCATAGTTTTCAGAATACAAGTTTTGCACTTTTTAAAAAAATGAATAGATGTTATTTTTTGAGCTATTTTAGGTATATAGAACACTTGTACAGAAAGTACAGAGAGTTCCCATATACTTCCTCCTCCCCAACCCCATACACAGTTCTCCCTATTAATATCTTGCATCAGTGTGGTTCATTTGTTGTAATTGATACATTATTAACCAATGTTCATAGTTTACATTAAGGTTCACTCCAATGTGTTTTACAGTTTTCATGTGTCCATCATTACAGTGTCACATAAAATAGTTTCAGTGCCTTAAAACTTTCCTCTACTCCGCCTGTTCATTTATCCTTCCCTCAAATCCCTGGCAATCATTGATCTTTATATTGTCTTTACAATTCTGCCTTTTCCAGAATTCGTATAGTTGGAAATAAACAGTATGAAAGCTTTTCAGACTGGCTTTTCTCAGTAATATGCATTTAAGGTTTCTTCATGTCTTTTTTGAGGCTAAGAGCTCATTTATTTTTAGTACTGAATGATATTCCATTGTGTGGATGTTTATCCATTTATGGGAGGACATCTTGGTTGCTTCCAATTTTGGCAATTATGAATAAAGTTGCTATAAACCCTTGTGTGCAGGGTTTTATGTGGACATAAGTTTTCAACTCATATAGCTGGATTCTATCATAAGACTCAGTTTTGTAAGAAAGTGCCAAACTCTTCCAAAGTGGCTGTACCATTTTGCATTCATTCATATCTCCACATCCTTGGCAATACTTGGTGTTGTCAATAGTTTAGATTTAAACCATTCTAATAGTTGTGTAGTGGTATCTCATTATTTTAATTGTAATTTCTTGATAACATATGATATTGAATATCTTTTATATGTTTATTTGCCTTCTGTATATCTTCTTTGGTGTCTGTCTATTCACACTTCTTTTTAAAAAATTTATTCTGAAGTACTTCATTCTTTTTGGTGCTTCTGTAAATAGTAATGTTTTCTTAATTTCCTTTTCCGTTCATTGCAAGTGTATAAAATACAGTTGATTTTCATATATTGATTTTATATCCTACTTCTTTGGTGAACTCATTATTAGCCCTAGTAGTTTTTATAGATTCTTAGGATTTTCTATATATAAGATCATGTCATCTGCAAGTAGAGATCATTTTACTTCTTTTCCCACTTGGATGTCTTGTTTCTTTTTTTATGCTTTGTTTCTTTTTTTTTTTTTCTGATTGCCCTGGCTAGAAATTCCAGGACACTTTTGAATAGAAGTGGCAAGAATGGACATTCTTATCTTGTTCCTGATCTTAGAGGAGAGGCATTCAGTCTTTTATCATTAAGTATGATGTTTGTGTGGGTTTTTTGTAGATGTCCTTTATCAGGTTGAACAAGTTGAGGAAGCGTTTTAGGTATGTAGATGTTTAGACCCTATCATTAAAGGTTCTGATTTAGTGATCTGGGGTAAGGACGAGATGTCTGGTTTTTTTGTTTTGTTTTCTTTTTTAAGATTTTATTTATTTGTTTATTTAAAGAAAGCATGAGCAGGGGGAGAGGCAAAGGGAGAGGGGGAGAGAGAGAGAATCTCAAGCAGAGTCTAACGGGCTCCATCTCAGGACCCTGAGATCATGACCTGAGCCATAATCAAGAGTTGGATGCTTAACTGACTTAACTAGGTACCCCGGGACCAGATATCTTTAGTTGTAAAAAGGCACATATAAATAAAATAAAAGGTATATAAGTAATTCTGTCCATAGCCAGGATTGAGAATATCTGCCCTATTTTCATTGAAGTACTTCATGCTTCATTCTTTTCAAACCTGTATTATCACTTCCATTCTTCCCCCTCAGCTGAGAACCTTGAACTTGTCACATTGTCAATTCCCTAAATGTTGTATTCCTAACTCAAATTATTTTTGGTGATAAACAGTAGCAAATAGGCTATATTGCATGGGTTAATTTTCTTTCATACACTGGGTTTGATTAAGATATGATATTCAGATTTATTTTACCTATAAGGAATATAAGCTATCTGTTGACCCTAACTTATGGCTAATTTCATTCTTCATCATACAGAGTAGTACTCAGAACATAATTGTTGATAATCCATGTAAATTATTTTTTAGCCTCTTTTCTCAATCTTATTTTTTGAAATCAATTATACATAGTCTTGCTACTGACATTGTCCCTGTGTTCTGTCAAAACATGTAAGAAATAACTCATTTGACCTGTATGGTGAATAATAATTATTTTGCTTCTTTAGGACACCATGTAAAATTGAACCTAGTATAAACCACATTCTAAGCACAAGGAAGCCTGGAAAGGAAGAAGGAGATCCTCTGCAGAGAGTTCAAAGCCATCAGCAAGAGTCTCAGGAGAAGAAAGAAAAGATGATGTATTGTAAGGAAAAGATTTATGCCGGAGTCGGGGAGTTCTCCTTTGAAGAGATCCGGGCTGAAGTTTTCCGGAAGAAATTAAAAGAGCGAAGGGAAGGTATGTATATTGATCTAGTTCACAGCAAAATTTCTTGGGAATTGTAATCTTTGTCACTGCCCATTATTTTCTCAAGCATTCCCTCTATTCCAGTGAAGCAGCTCTGATCATGGTCACCAGAAACCTCCTTTTCGCCAAATCCAGTGGCCATTTATCAGTCTTGATCTTTTTTGACCTCTTGGCTTCATTTGACACAATTGATGAAATGCTTGTTTATGAAATGCTTCTCTTGGCTTTTTCCTTGGTGCATATTATCCCTCTCAATTTCCTTCACTGCTATTCCTGAGGCCCAGGATAGAGTATTGGAATATTCCAGTCACAACTATCACTAGGTAATGGATTAAATACTCTTTACAAGCTGGGGACTCTCAAATTTATATCTCTATCCCTGACATTTCACCTGAACTCCAGACTCCTATTTAGTTACCTATATCTATTGGCTATTCCGACAGACATTTTAAACTCAACATAGCCAGAACAGAATTACTGATTTCTGCCAAAAACGACACCCCAACACATACCACAGGCTTACCCATTTCAGTAAAAGGGAACACCATGCACCCAGTTGGTTCAAGCCAAAAAAACCCATAAGTCATCTCTGATCCCTCTTTCTGTACCATTCTCCCACATCTAAATGAATAAGCCTATCAACTGTACCACCAAAAAATTTCCCAGATCTTTCATTTATCACCATTCTCATTATTAATCCAAACTGCCATCTTTTAGGTAGACTACTGCAGCTAGACTTTCTGCAAACTTCAGTCTGGCCTTACTACAGTCCATTTTGCTCATAGCAGATGATCTTTATAAAAAGTCCAGGTCCTATCATTACTTTACTTAAAATTCTTCAGTGTTTTCTCATTGTCTTACCATGCAGTACGAACTCTACCCACCCGTGACTTGGCTCCTGCCTACCTCTCCAACCTCATCTTTTACTTTTCTCCCTCTTACTTTGCTACAGTCATACTGGCCTTCTCTGGAACTCACTCTTGAGCACAGTGACCTTGTTCCTGCATTAAAGCCTTTGTGCCAGCTCTGGCCTAGAATCTTTCCCCAGATCTTTATATCACTGGCTCCTTGTCATTTGGGTTACAACCTTATGAATGTCCCTCTCTTAAAATGATCTTCCCTGCTCACCTGTCTTAAGTAGCTCTTGACCTCCTACTCAGTCACACATTCTCACATCACCTATTTTATTTTATTTATTTATTTGAGATAGAGAGTGAGAGCAAGAGCTGGGAGACAGAGGGGGGGGGAGAAGCGGCTCCCCGCGGAGCAGGGAGCCCGATGCGGGGCTCCATCCCAGGACGCTGGGACCATGACCTGAGCCGACGGCAGATGCTCAATCGACTGAGCCACCCAGGCACCCCACCTATTTTATTTTTAACACTGATTTTCTTATTAATTTGTGTGTGTGTCTTCCCCAAATTGAATGTTAGTGTCACATGACTAAGGACTTTGTATTATGCACCACTGACATGTAAATGCTCCGAATTGTTCTTGGCACATCATAGACATTCTGGTTCTTATTGATTAAATAAATGAAAGAATAGAAACCCAGACCTCAAGTAGAGGGCTTTGCTCCATTTATATTATTCTCATCTGTAATATTAGCATGTATGTTGAAGCCATGAGCTCCAAAGACAGTTTTTGACAGAATAAGTTGCTATAAGGAGTAATGCATTAGCCAACCTTACTGTTTCTAGCTGAGCTACTGACCAGTGCAGAGAAGAGAGCAGAAATGCAGAAACAGATTGAAGAGATGGAGAAGAAGCTGAAAGAAATTCAAACTACTCAGCGAGAAAGAATGGGTGATCAGGTCGTTTCTCTCTCTTGTTTTGTTTTTTTTAAGATTTATTTATTTATTTTAGAGGGAGAGTGTGTGTAAGCAGGGAGAAGGGCAGAGGGTGTCATGCAGGGCTCCATCTCACACCCTGAGATCATGACCTGAGCTGAAACCAAGAGTCACGTGCTTAACCGTGCCACCCAGATGCCCCCATTTCTCTTTTTTTAATACAGAAAACTATACTTATTGAAACAAATTTAAACAATATAAAAGCATAGAAGATAAAAATCCTCCCAACCCCCATTCAGAGTTTCTGGTAGTTTCATAGCTATTAGTGGCAACAAAGTCCAGCAGGAAAGTAATTTAACAAGTGACCTCAAATGGAACTTGTGTCACTAGAAGTGATGCAATTTATTGACTTCTTAGTTAGACTCTAAAGCATTGTTTTATAACTTCTGGACTTTAGCTTTTTATTCTAGTCATGTTGCATTGAAATGGGGTCACCCAAAGAAATTTGGTATATGCTTGGCACTGCTCAGTTGAGTACAACAGAAACGGTTTATCCTAGGAATGTAAATTATTAGAAAGAACTTTTATAGCATAGATATTTTATATGGTTAGTGGGTATCTAGGCGAAGAGTATAGTGAACCTAATTTTGGAACTAAAGCTTGAAAATAGGTAGGATTTTTTAGATAGGAGGGACACATTGATTTTGTTTCTTTAATGCAAATAGCAAGAAGAGAAGATGCCTACAAAGGAGACAGCTGAACTGCAAATTGCTTCAGAGTCTCAGGAAATACCAGGAATGGCTCTATCCAATTCTGTTTGTCCAGTAAACTCTTGTGCCAGGTAGGACTGCATTGGTGGGAGGGATGATTCTTATAGGAGGGCACTTAAAACCAACCTTTGACTCTAATGACTTGAAGTCTTTTATAATATTAAGACAATGTTTGCAAGTCTCTGTCACAACATAAGCTCTGATACTGATGAGGTAAGACAGGGTACTGACATTTTTCTGTTAAAAAAAATACATGTTTCTTACAGAAACAATCAAATATAATTTTTAAATTAAAAACAAATTTTTTTAAAGTAGTCTTCATGGAGCCCAGCATGGAGCCCAGCATGGGGCTTGAACTCATGACCCTGAGATTAAGACCAGAACCGAGATCAAGAGTCAGAGGCTTAACCGACTGAGCCACCCAGTCACTCCTCAAATATAATTTTTTAAAGATAAAACCACCCATTTTTACCACCAAGTGATTACTGTTATTAACATATGTATATCCTTATGTGTTCTGTTTTTTGTTTTATTTGATAAAAATGAGAGTTTGCCATTGCTTATACTGTTAATGTTATAACATCTATTATCAAATATACTTATATAACAATTATAATGACTGAAGGTTCGATCTTCTTAAAGAATTTGGATTGACTACTAGAATTTTTTTTATCTAGAGTGAAGAAGATTATATTTAATGAAAAAGCCTCTTGGACTTATAAGAGTTAAATAATTCTTTTTGTGGGTACTTCGGACATATTTTAAAACAAGTTTCTTTACAGGGAGACTTCACTTGCAGAAAACTTTTGGCAAGAACCTCATTCTAAAGGTGAGTTATATTTGACAATGTCATGAAAAACTTACCAGTAACAAACACATTATGTAATATGTGGTAAATATTTTTCTTAATTATGGTAAAGGGAGTTGTAAGAAGACAGAGGGGAACTAAGATCTTATCGTATCTTTGAATCATGGAATTCAGTTAAGCATATGATTTGAGATAGGATAGGCATTTAAAAGAGTGTGTTTGTAAGATTCCTCAGTGCTTTGAAATGTTTCAATGTAGATTTAAATTTATGTTAACTACCAAATACTATCTTCCACCTTAGCAGCGTATACTGAGCTAAACCTATCAGTAGTATCCAGCAGCCAAGAAAGTAGTTTTTCAGAAGAAAGAAAAAATGTCTAAAACTAAAGCTATTTAGGGGTGCCTGGGTGGCTCAGACTGTTAAGCGTCTGCCTTCAGCTCAGGTCCTGATCCCAGGGTCCTGGGATTGAGCCCCGCATCGGGCTCCCTGCTCAGCGGGGAGCCTGCTTCTCCCACTGCCGCTCCCCCTGCTTGTGCCCTCTCTCTCTCTCTCTCAAATAAAATAAGTAAAATAAAATAAAATCTTAAAAAAAGAACAAAACTAGAGGTATTTATACTCAAATTTATTATTTTTTTTAAGATTTTATTTATTTGACAGAGAGAGCAAGCAGAGGGAGTGGCAGGCTCCCCAGCTCCCCATGGAGCAGGGAGCCCAATGCAGGGCTCGATCCTAGGATCCTGGGATCATGACCTGAGCCGAAGGCAGACGCCTAACCAGCTGAGCCACCCAGGCGCCCCAAATTTATTCTCTTCATTTAAAAATACGTTAAAAATGGTAAAGACATGAATATCTACCTAGTAGTAGTTGAAAACAAATTAAATAGAATCTGATTAAACCTCTAACTCTAACCACCAATTTATAGGAAATACAAAGCATAGAGGAACATGTTAAACAACATAGGAAGATGTAATTGGCAAAAAATCCAGCATTATGGGGCAAACAACCTAGTTTCTTCAACAGAAAATTACTAAAACAACAACAAACCCTATAGTATCAAAGTGATTTAGGAGGTATTTCAACCAGTCACAGTATATGAATCTGCATTCCCAATTCAAACTTTCTAAATAATTTTGGTTAAATGTGAGTCTTCTGATTAGATATATGATACTCAGAAATTATTAATCCTATAGGTATGGTTATGTTTTGAGATTATGCTTTTTTGAACGAGTCTCTCTCTTTTAGAATTACATCCTGAAATATTTACAAATGAAATGATATGATGTCTTAGATTTGCTTTAAGATAATTCAGAGTTGGGTTGGGTTTGGAAAGTAGTGGTAGTGGTGGGGAATAAAGAAAGATGAGACACAATCATCCATGTTTAGATAACTTATTAAATGATGTCTACTTTTATATGTTTGAAATTGTTCATTATAAAGAACAGGTTACCTTTCTGCTTCCAAACAGCACAAAATATTAATTGACCTAGATGTCTTGAAAAATGGGCATTTACTCTTAAGAGCATAAATCTATTCTCTTTTTCTATAGGTCCCAGTATACCTTTCTCCATTTTTGATGAGTTTCTTCTTTCAGACAAAAAAAATACCAGGTTTGAAGTTTTTTGTTTTGTTTTGATACTTAAAAGTCTTCTATTATTATAAATGAGGATGCAATAAGGGTTACTGTTATCTATGTGAACAGAAAAATAAGTGGGGTATGTTTTTTTCCAGTCATCCTGCAGATCCCCCACGGGTTTTAGCCCAACGAAGACCCTTTGCAATTCTCAAAACTTCAGAAAGCATCAACTCAAATGAGGATGTGTCTCCAGATGTTTGTGTAAGGAACAGTATTCCTAAGTTAATATAAGCAGACTGATGAATTGTTTCATTCAATTCTCATAAAGTTAGGGTTAAAATTAAAATCACTGGCTTGGGGCACCTGGGTGGTTCAGTCAGTTAAGCGTCTGCCTTTGGCTCGGGTCATGATCCCAGAGTCCTGGGATCGAGTCCCGCTTTGGCCTCTCTGCTTGGCGGGGAGTCTGCTTCTCCCTCTGCCTGTCACTCTGCCTACTTGTGCGCACACTCTCTCTGTCAAATAAATAAATAAAATCTTTAAATAAATAAATAAAAATAAAAACACTGGCTTAAAATTTAAGCACATGAAAAGATGCTTAACATCATTATTCATTAGAGAATGTAGATCCACAACCACAGTGAGATACTACTTCACATGCACTGTGATGGCTATAATCAAAGAAAATAACAAGTGTTGGTGAGGATGTGGAGAAATTAGAACCCTCATACAGTGCTGGTAGGATTATAAAATGGTGCAGCCACTTTGGAAAACAGTTTGGTAGTCTCTCAAAATGTTAAAAATAGAGTTACCATATGTATGACCTAGCAATTCTCTCCTAGGTATATATCCAAGACAATTAAAAACATGTTTACATTTTTAAAAACACTGTACATGAATGATCACAGCAACATTATTTATAATAGCCAAAATATACTAGCATATATGCTATAATTTTACTTGTTATAAAACCCATTTATTTATTATTATTATTTTTTTTAAGTAGGTTCCACATGCAACACGGAGCTTGAACTCATGACCCCAAGACCAAGAGTCACGTGCTCCACCAACTGAGCCAGCCAAATGGCCCTAAAACCCCTTTTTTAAGTATATGCGCTTAAATGTATGCATGTAACCTACCAGATATGTAGTTGCCTCTGGGGAATAGTAATTGGAGGGGAGATGAGGGTCAAGTGCCAGAGGGAGACTTTTTCACTATATATCCTTTTCAACTAGTTGACTTTTTAAACCATATACATGTATTACTTTGTTTTTTGTTTTTTGGTTTTTTTTAAAGATTTTATTTTATTTTATTTTATTTTGACAGAGAGAGACCCAGCGAGAGAGGGAACACAAGCAGGGAGAGTGGGAGAAGGAGAAGTAGGCTCCCCGCAGAGCAGGGAGCCCAATGCGGGATTTGATCCCAGGACTCTGGGATCATGACCTGAGCCGAAGGCAGACACTTAATGACTGAGCCACCCAGGCGCCCCAACATGTATTACTTTGAAAGACGAAGGGGTAGCTGATTCAGTTAAGTGTCTGACTCCTGATTTCAGCTGAGGTCATGATCTCGGGATCCTGGGATGGAGCCTCCTGTGTCAGGCTCCACGTTCATCCAGGGAGTGTGCTTGAGATTCTCTCTCTCCCTTTGCCCCTTCCCCTGCTTGCACATACACGGTCTCTAAAATAAATAAATAAATCTTTGAAAGACAAAGGAATATTTTTAAAATTTTCCTTTTTTTTATACTTTGTATTCCATATTTTCTTTTCTTTTTTTTTTTTAAAGATTTTATTTATTTATTTGACAGAGAGAGACACAGCGAGAGAGGGAACACAAGCAGGGGGAGTGGGAGAGGGAGAAGCAGGCTCCCCGCAGAGCAGGGAGCCTGATGTGGGACTCGATCCCAGGACCCTGGGATCATGACCTGAGCTGAAGGCAGTCGCTTAACCAACTGAGCCACCCAGGCACCCATCTATTCCATATTTTCTACTGTGACTGTGAATTATCTTTAAGAAATAAAATAAAAATTCAATATTTGGTGTAGAAGAAAAAAGCTAGGAGGATAGCAGATTATCAGAACATTTTCTAGGTCAAAGCCAGAAGAAAAATATTATTCCTCTAGTTCTTAGGTGAAATTGGTTGGGCAAAAAATCATTATCCAGTATTTTTCCTTTGGAGAATCCTCACAGTATATTTTTTTGATAATACATAGTTTGCTATTTTCATGATATAAAACTTTTTCCCTCAGATATTATGATGTGCTTTTTAAAATTATCTTTCCTAGAGATTCTAATATGCTACTTCTGTACCCTATGTTGAAAATCACTTATCTAATGTTTGTCTCTCTGAGTAAAAAAGGTAGGTCCTCCATATTCTCACTGAAATATTTCAGCTAAACTTTATGTGTTTTTTATTTCAGGATGAATTTACAGGAATTGAGCCCTTGAGTGAGGATGCTATTATCACAGGTTTCAGGAATGTAACTATATGTCCTAACCCAGAAGACACTTGTGACTTCGCCAGAGCAGCTCGTTTTGTATCCACTCCTTTTCATGAGATAGTGTCCTTGAAGGATCTCCCTTCTGATCCTGAGAGACTGCTGCAGGAGGAGGATCTAGATGTGAAGATCTCTGAGGACCAGCAGACTGCTTGTGGCACCATCTACAATCCAACTCTCAGCGTCAAGAAGCTCAGGTGATTGTAGGTTGCACAAACCAGATTGTTTGAGTGATCTCTTATTCTGTGTGTGCTTGTCAGAGCGATCATTTATCAGGTTCTCACTACCTGCCAGGTACCGTGCTAAGTGCTTTACATGACAGTAGGACTCCCCCTGATAAAGTGGTGGTGGGATTTGGTAATTGATTTGAGTATGAGAGTTAGAAGAAGTAAATTTGGATGGTTATGAGACTGAGAGCCCCCAGAGGATTCTGGTGTCTTTGAGAAAACTTGGCAAAGTATACCTGATGGGGAGACAGGGGGCATTTTATTTTTCCTTTAATACTAAATTTTAAATAATGGTAAAATAGCTTGATACTAATTTCAGATAGGCAACTAGAAGTGTCCTTTTTTTTTTTTTTAAAGATTTTATTTATTTGAGAGAGAGAGAGAGAACATTAGCTTGGGGCGGAGGGGCAGGGTGGGGCAGAGGGAGAAGCAGAGTCCCTGCTAAGCAAGGAGCCGGATGTGGATTCGATCCCACGACTCTGGGATCATGACCTGAGCTGAAGGCAGAAGCTTAACCCACTGAGCCACCCAGGTGCCCAGAAGTGTACTTTTTTAAAGTATCTTTTAGGGGCGCTTGGGTGGTTCAGTCAGTTAAGTATCTGACTCTTGATTTCAGCTCAGGTTATGATCTCAGGATCATGAGATCAGGCCCCGGGTCAGGCTCCATGCTTAGCGTGGAGTCTGCTGAGATTATCCCTCTGCCTATGCCCCTCCCCCTGCTCTCTCTCGCTTGCTCTGTCTCTCTCAAAAATAAATAAATAAATAGATGGATAAAATCTTTATTTTTTTTAAAGAGTTTACTTATTTATTTGACAGAGAGAGAGACAATGAGAGAGGGAACACAAGCAAGGGGAGTGAGAGAGGGAGAAGCAGGCTTCCCGCTGAGCAGGGAGCCCAATGTAGGGCTCGATACCAGGACCCTGAGATCATGACCTGAGCTGAAGGCAGACGCTTAATGGCTGAGCCACCCAGGTGCCCCTAAATAAAATCTTTAAAAAAAAATAAAGTCTCTTTTAATGGAGAGGTGGAAATGAATAAAGAATGGTATGAAGGAATCGCATAGAATCTGTATATTTAAAAGTTGGCTAAATGAATGTTGGTTTTAGGAATATTCTTTAATTTGCCAATTTGTGCTTTTAAAACTGCATTTTCAAATTTTTGTCCAGTAAACTTTTTATCGCATTTGCTTAGCATGTATTCACCTTGAGTGATTTGGGTTTCCCTTTTTCTTTCTTGATCTTTTCTTATTAAAGAGTAAAAATGTCTAGAGAAAGGATAAACAAGAAAAAAGTTAGTATCTTAGTCAATGTTTCTCAGTAGTTTAGAATAGATGTAGATTAGGCATTTGCTATAGATTAGGTAAATAAAGCATAAATTTAGAAAATCTAATGCTGAGCATTGCCTGTCAACCAGAGTAGATAAATTCTGATTATGAATCTATATCTGTTTCAGGAAGATATAGACTTTGAAAATTAGACTAATGAGGGCACCTGGGTGGCTCAGTTGGTTAAGCGACTGCTTTCGGCTCAGGTCATGATCCTGGAGTCCCTGGATCGAGTCCCGCATCGGGCTCCCTGCTCGGCAGGGAGCCTGCTTCTCCCTCTGACCCTCCCCCCTCTCATGTGCTCTCTCTCTCTCATTCTCTGTCTCAAATAAATAAAATCTAAAAAAAAAGAGAAAATTAGACTAATGAATATCAAATAAAATAAAATAACAAAGATAAAGTGATATCTGTTATCCCTATGAGGACTGACTGATTTGTGGTTCTTTCAGCCCAATTATTGAAGACAGCCGCGAAGCCACACACTCCTCTGGGCTCTCAGGGTCTTCTGCCTCAGTTACAAGTTCCTCTTCCATCAGATGTCTTCAAATTCCTGAGAAACTGGAACTTACTAATGAGACTGCAGGTAGCTTCATACATACCACCTGTAAGCAAACCTCTACCTCCATGTCTACTGAACACTTATTTATCTCAGCAAACTGAGCTATGTGGTTTTTTTCTCTAGAAAAGTTCCCATAAATTGTGCAATTTCTAGAATGAATCAGTATTAACTGAACACCATAAAGACCTGAAGTAGATGAGTTTTGTTAGGTTAGCCGTGTTGATTGTGCAGTCTTGTGTTTTTTCCTCTCCTCTGTTTATAACACCCATTTTAGGTTTGGGGGGTGATGGGGTTTTTTAACTTTTTTTTCCCCCCCAGACAACCCTACTCAGTCACCCTGGTGTCCACAGTATCGCAGACAACTACTAAAATCTCTAATGGAGCTGAGGGCCTCTGCAGAGTTTTTTATAGAAGATAGACCAATGCCTAAGTTGGAAATAGAAAAGGAAATTGAATTGGGTAAGTATCATTGAACAAATGGGGTTTTTTTTTGTATGACACTATACGAGTAAGTGATTATTTGTACTTGAGCTTGTTGCTTGAGCAACTCTTGATCTCAGGGTCGTAAGTTCGAGCCCCACATTGGGGGTAGAGTTTACTTAATTAAAACAAAACAAAAAAACTCATGTAAAAAGACAAATGAAAAAGAAACAGATTATAGAGGTTGACACATTGATAAGTTCATGTCCCGGTAACAATATGGAGTCTGTCTTCCCCTCTTTCAACTTTTAACAAATGATTTTGAAAAGTGTTCTAACTGACTGCTCACTGGCAGATATAAAGTACCTTTAGCCCTTAAACCAGGAGGTAAAAGCTAAGGGGCTGTACATATTCACAGTGATTTTTAAATGGAATCAAACCTTCTCAACAGGTAATGAAGATTATTGCATTAAACAAGAATACCTAATATGTGAAGATTACAGATTATTCTGGGTGACACCAAGAAACTCTGCAGAGTTAACCATAATAAAGGTGGGACTGATTCTTTGTCATTTGCGTTACTTTTTAAAAAAATAATGTGGGTTGAAGCAGTAACTGTGGTCCCATGGTACCATCAAATCCTTTGAATAGTCCATAAGTTTCTTGATAGAAAAGTCGGTGAGACATCAAAAAATCACTCAGCATTATGTGCCAGGATCAGATATCAAAAAGGAGAGGCAATCATGTAAATCTCTTAGTATGTCCAAACATACTAAATATTCTATTAATTCTATCTTTTTGAGGAAATATGCTGAAATTTTCTGGCCTGCTCCAATCTGGACAGATTACATTCTGGGACACATACACACACACACACACACACACACACATTCTGGGACACACACACACACACACACACACACCCCTTTTGACATTTCCATTCACCATTATCCTAGGGAATCACATTACCTCTTTCTTATGTTAGACGCCCAGTAATATTGGCTCCCATTTTTATTTCTTTTTGGTTTAAGCCCTCATATTTTAGTAGCCTCCCGGGAAAGGATGCATGGGATATACATTTTTTTGAAACCTTCCATGTCAGAAAATTTTTTATTCCACATCTTTACTTGATTGGTAGTTTGGCTGGATATTAGAATTCTAGGTTCAAAACTTTTTTTCCTTGGAATTTTGAAGATAAGGTTGATTATCTTTTGGCTTGTGGCCTTTCTTTTTAAAGTCTTTTGCCATTTTTTGTGTAAGACTATTTTTCCCTCTCCCTGAATCCTTGTAGAATCTTCTTCTGTTTATCCCCAGAATTGTCCCCAGTATTCTGAAATTCCACAAATACATGTTTTGGTAAAAATCTATTATTGCCCATATGCTAGACACTGGATGGCCATTTCAATGTGGAAACTCCTTCAGTTTTGAGAAATTTTCTTCAAAGAATAAATTATTTCTTCTTTTCAGTCTTCTGTTCTCTCCTTCTAGAATTCCTTTTATTAGGATATGGGGTATCTTAGAGATCCTTTAAAAATCTTATCTTTTTTTCTCCTTTTCTCTTTGTCTTTTTGCTTTACTTTCTGGAATGTTTTGTCAGCTTTATTTCCAGACTTGTTATTGGGTTTTTCATTTCTTTTGTCATGCATTTGATTTGCCAGAGCTCTTTTTTATTCTCAGAATTTTCTTCTTTAAAACATTCTGCACTTCATTTCAAAGATGGAATATTCTTTCTCTGCGTGCATTTACGATGCTTTAAACTTTTTTCTCCCTGCATCATCTGTTTCCTTTTGTCTGTTTTGAGCTCTGTCTTTCATATTAGAGGCTTTCTTCAAGTCTTGGACTCTCTATTCATATTTAAGTGTGGGACTCTAAAAGCTAATTGAAAGCTCTGTATATACAGGACCTGGACAGCTGTTGGGCCTCACTGTAAGAAGATCTTGCTTAGCCATTCAATAAAAGGCCTCAGTCTTTCAGGTCTTTTCTTTTGAGCTGATCAGATCCTTCAGAGAAAACTTCTAATATCCTTTCTGGAGCAAATAATCCTGGTTGCTAGCTTCTTGGAAGCTAAGTGGGAAAATTAGTCGGGAGGGGCGGACAGGTGCATCTTAACATTTGATATATAAACTCCCCCCAACCCCCGTTAACAGTGCCTGGTGACCTCTAGCCCAGAGCCCTTCAGCTTTATACTTTCTAGGGGTAGACTTCTGGTCTTCTAGAATGGAGGAGAGGCAGGGGAATCTGGGGTTTAACTTCCTCCTAATACAGTTCAACCACTCCTGTGGTAGCCCCACCTCCACCCTTCTCTAGGTAATTGGTGCCATCAGTTTTATACTGTGGGAAGATGGTCCTGTAGTGTAAAGTTGGTTGCCCTCAGCTTTCTCTACTGCTAGAATCAGCTTTCCTTGGGTCAGCTAAGTGGATTGTTACCTCTTAGTGTTCCCTTTCCAGCTTCCAGAATTTGCTGCTGCTGTGTTTTTTATTGTAGATTTATGACTTTTAAAACATTCCTTTACTATTATTTCTGTTGGGGTATCATAAAGGCTGGAGGAAATGTTTTCAACCTGCCAGCCATAACCAGAGATTCTCATAGCTCTTATTTTTAAAATTTCTTACAGGTATCAGCTCACCCTGTCCCATGGGACTTTTATATCAACCTCAAGTTAAAGGAACGTTTAAATGAGGAGTATGATCATCTGTGCAGCTGTTACCAGTACCAAGATGGTTGTATTGTTTGGCACCAGTATATAAACTGCTTCACCCTTCAGGTTTGAATAATATGAATAGAGTCCTTAAATAGAGAGATTTGTGCTCCATTTACCAAGGGAGTTTAGTGCGAGATTCCTGTTAACCTTCTAGAAATAGACCAACTAAATTATAAACTAGAAGCATTGATCATTTTCCTTTCCCAAGTTGTTTTGGCCAAAAACTTCTTTGGTACTTTTTTTTAACTTTTTATTATGTCAATTTTCTTTTTCTTTTCTTTTTTTAAAAGAACATAATCTCTATACCCAAGAAAGATGGGGCTCAAACTCACGACCCTGAGGCCAAGAGTCACGCGCTCCACTGACTGAGCCAGGCAGGCACCCCTAGTATGTCAGTTTTCAAATATGGACAAAAATAGACAGAATTGTGCAATGACCCAGTCATCTAACTGTGTTCATCATCGGCTCATGGCCACTCTTATGTTAAATTCCTGGTGTGATAATTCCAATATTCTTTCCATGTCTGGTTTTGATATTTGCTTTGTCTGTTCGAATTGTGTTTTTGGACTTTTAGTGTATCATAAAATTTTTCTTTTTCTTTTTTAAAGATTTACTTATTTGAGAGAGAGCACATGCACGTGTGTGAGTGGGAGGAGGGGCAGAGGGAGAGAATCTCAAGCAGACTCCCCGCTGAGCCCAGAGCCTGAGGCGGGGCTCCATCTCACCACCCCTGAGATCATGACCTGAGCCAAAACCAAGAGGCAACACTTAACTGACCGAGCCACCCAGGCGCCCCTAACTTTTCCTGATAGCCAGACATGAAGTACTGGGTAAAAGGAATTGCTATAGATAGCCCTTTAATAATGTGGTGATAAGGTGTGAAGGGAAGGAAAGCATTGCATAATTCTGTGCTTTATGTTCTTTTATAGTGAGCCTATGCCTCTGGACTGTGCACCTCACAAGTATTTCCCCTCCCTTAGGTGGGACATGATGACTAGAGTGGGCTGAAGTTGGGTATTTCCCTTCCCCAGGTCAAGTAGGCTCAGATAATACTCTAGCAGGTTAGGCTCCAGTTAACTAGTTTCTCCTGACGACAGAGCTTTTTAAGAACAGAGTGCTCTGGCCTCTTTCAAAATGGTTCCTCTCTCCCTCCACCTCTGGAAGCACAAGGAGAATTTTTCTCCAACTGTGCTTCTCCATTTGCTGTGAGAACCTGATCTAGCTCCTAGACATAAAACTCGCAGAAGTGTGAGGAACCCCCTCCACCACCACCACCATGCTTACAGATCCTAGAAGAGTTGATTTTTCAGTCTGTTCAGCTTTTTATTTGTTAGGACAGAGTGGCAACTTTCAAACTCTTTACATAAGGAATGGTCTATTTTTGCTACTCTTGTTTTATCTATGCTGTCCCTCAGTAGATTATTTTTAGAACCCAAACACAGTATATCATTTTATTCTTAGGAATGTTCTTTTTTTTTTTTTTAAGATTTTATTTATTTGAGAGAGAGAGAGCGTGCATGCATGTGCATGCCAAGGAAGGGGGAGGAGCCGAGGGGGAGGGAGGGGGACAGACTCTGTGCTGAGTGCGGAGTCTAATGCAGGGCTTGATCCCAGAACCCTGAGATCATGACCTGAGTCAAAACCAAGAGTTGGCCGCTCAACTGACTGAGCCACCCAGGTGCCCCTGGAATGTTCTTAAGAGGTGTTGTTGCATATTTTGATGGTAATATGAATTTTCTAAAAAGGTTGGAATGAGGGTATTTTGAAACTACCATTTATAGAGCACCTATTATGGGCCTGGCTAATCCTCGATGCTCTTCATCCCTTATTTCAATAAATCCTTATAGTCTTAGAGGAGAGCAGTGTTGTTAGAACTGGGACAAAGACCCAGCCTGTGAAAGAGCCAGATCCTAGTAGAGAGCAACAAGGAGTACAAAGCAGCAGGTGGCAAGGTATTGAGTGTAAGTACAGTCACTGCAACTTAAGAAGTAGTGAATTTTCTGTCCTTTGTTTCTAGGATCTTCTTGAACACAGTGAACTTATTACCCATGAAATAATAATGTTGGTTATTTATAACCTTTTGACAATAGTGGAGAAATTACACAGAGCAGAAATAATCCATGGTGACTTGAGTCCAAGGAGTCTGATTCTTAGAAACAGGTTGGTCCTTTTCATTCTCTTAAAATTCTGTCAACTTTCTCTTAAAATATGGACAGTTTCCATTTCCTTTTGCCTCTCGATAAATGCCATATTGAGGAACACAGTATGTTAAAGTATTTGCTATCTAAAAGTCAATAATCAAGGGGAATAGTTTAAAAGAGTTCAAAGAAAAAAATACATTGAGGAAATACATTAATTCAGAAAAAAAAATTGACCACTCTTGAGTATTGTGATGATTCCTGGCAAGAAGAGATATAAAATATGAAGATTTGGAGGACTATGAAATAGATTGTGTAGTCTTTCTTTGAGTGGGGCCAGTGCGGATTGAGGGAGGATGCTAGCAAAACCAGGGCACTTCTCAGTTTCAAAACCAAAGCTTAAGTCAGGCCAAATTGAGGTAATTGCCAAGAGAAGTGGCTAAACCAGAGTGCAAATGCAAACTATGCCAAGAAAAAGGGCTTAGTGGTCAAATTAAACCCCATTTAGCCATCAAATGCAAGGGGTGAACACAGAGCAGCAAATAAATAGTTTTATGATGGCCAAAAAATCTTGTATCTTGTGCTATGGAAAAATGGGAGCAATTGTACTTTTTTTTTTTTAAGATTTTATTTATTTATTTGACAGAGAGACGTAGCGAGAGAGGGAACACAAGCAGGGGGGAGAAGCAGGCTTCCGGCTGAGCAGGGAGCCCAATGTGGGGCTCGATCCCAGAACTCTGGGATTGTGACCTGAGCCGAAGGCAGACACTTAACAACTGAGCCACTCAGGTGCCCCGCAATTGTAAATTTTAAAATTTTAAAGGAGATATGTGATGGGATTAGTCAAAGCCTGTATTTAAAAATATAGCATCTATCACTGATACTAATCAGGGATTTGAGGGAACTGAGGAAAGCAGAGACAAGGAACACAAAAATAATTCGTTCTTTTCTCTCACATAAATAGTTATATGTCTCCTTGGAGAGTAGCTTTATTGCATGGGATAGATAAACCCAAGGAAAATATAATTAGTAGTGAGTTATTGTTATTAGGTTTTCTTTTGTTTGTTTGTTTTGGGAGTTATAAATAACGGTTGGCATTACAGATAAGAGTAAGAGAGGTGTTAGTTTAATAAAAACAGGATAGTTTACAGTATAGGTGGCATCTTACACAAAAACAGCCTTATTGTTATTTCAGTTAAACTCTGAGAAGGAGGAATCTGAATGACACTTGGAAAGCCTAATCTATAGTAGTGAACAAGAAAGGCTATGACATCTATAAAAGCTTAATTTCTTTCATAATTCTCATCAGTGTGTAAATCATTGCTGCTGTTCATATTAATGTGTCTAGTATAAGACAGAGGCTTGTACTCTACTTCCAGTACTTGTTTTATGTAATAAATATAATATGATAAATGGTTTGTGGTGGCTGTACATTATGGTTTAGATATCCTTGTGTCACTAGGCTAATCTCAACATTCCCCCCTTAGCTGGACACCGCCACTGCTCTTACAGTTGCATTTTCATAGCTAACCACTGGAGGGAGCTGTTGGCATAGCTAAGACGCACCTGCAATACCTTTTTTTTTTTCTTTTTTTTTTCTCTTTTTTTTAAAGAGCAGCTCTGCAGCTTCTTTCATGGCCTATTTTTATTATCTCTTTCTCTTAAATCTGGGCTTAGAATCCACGATCCCTATGATTATAATAAGAACGATCAAGCTTTGAAGATAGTGGACTTTTCCTACAGTGTTGACCTCAGGGTGCAGCCTGATGTTTTTATCCTCAGTGGCTTTCGGACTGTACACATCCTAGAAGGACAAAAGATCCTGGCTAACTGTTCTTCTCCCTACCAGGTAAGTGTAAAACAAGCCTGAGCAAATATGGAGAGGGTTTCTTAATCTCTTCCTTCCATAGATAAACCATGAAAGCTAGTGTTTACTGATATTGTCTCCCCTGGAATAGATGACCTAGTTTTCAAATTTCACCAAGTCAAGCAAAATATACCATTTTTCTGTCACAGCATTGAAGACGGTACACATACACGTGCAGACACATGACTAACTCAGTAACCTAAGTGTCAGGGCCATTTCCATCACTCATCTGTGTGATCTTTTGTAAGTAATTTTCTGTAATCTTTGTAAAATAAGGATAACAATCTGCTCTGTGTGTATCAGAATTGTTGCGAGGATTAAAGGAAATAATGTATATAAAAAGAACATTACAAGTGTAAAGTGCTTTGTATGGTAGCGTTATATACAAAACCCCTTCTGACTCATCTCTGGACGTTTGGCATTTGCTGATTGAAAATGTATCATGAACTTGAACTAGTCATGTGGACCATGTTTAGATCACAGCTAGAGTCCATGCACATTCAGTAGGTCTACAAATTTGAATTTGACAGTCCGTATATTTTTGTTCTTCAGGATAATTTTGTTCTCACCTTTTGTTCTTAAGGATAATTCCTAGAGTTAGCTCTATTGATCACTTCTTTGAGGAGCTTCTCCCTTTATGGTAAGGGTAGGGAACAGTCTACTAAAATGTATGTCATAAGATAAACTTAAACACTATAATAACTTTCAACTTTCTACATAAATAGAGTGCCATGATAGTAGCAGAGAATTATTTTAGCTGATGGTGCTTTTTGTGATTTCAGGTAGATCTGTTTGGTATAGCAGATTTAGCGCATTTACTATTGTTCAAGGAACACCTACAGGTCTTCTGGGATGGGTCCCTCTGGAAACTTAGCCAAAATATTTCTGAGTAAGTATTGGCGATTTCAGGGTCTTTGCCTATCCAAATAATTTTCTCTCCCTCTTGGGTGCCCTCTGCTTGGGCAGCCTTAGTTTTCTTAGTCCAAATGCCATGATTCTATTAATTTCAACCAGTTTTCACTAGAGTGTCAGTGGAGCATCTAGTGCAGAACAAAGGAATTGCTAATTAAAAATAAGAATCAAATCATTCAGACTTCAGGACATCATTCTGGACCTAGATGTATCCTATAGATTGTGACTGTGGTGCGGAAGCCTCTCATTCTAGAAGTGTTAATAGAAACATTTCGTGAGAATAATTTTATAATCAATTGACATTAGTCTTATACCCCTTTTTAATAGCTATTGTTATCAAAGTTAATAAGCATCTCTTGAAGAGAATTAAATTTCTAAATTATATACTAATTTTAGACTGTTATTTATTTAATGAATGGGAACCAAAGCAGAGAACTGAGTCTCCTTGGAGAAGTAAATGCTCCCTTCATAAGAGCTGCTTGGTCTCAGAACCATAGTATTCCCTCAAGCCTACTTATAAAACTTATTAAATATCCCATGTTCCACTTTAGCTTATCATAGCTAATAACTTCCCAGAATAAGCTCCCCATATATCAACTTATTTATATATTCTTTGGCTAAAAAAAAAAAAAAAAAAACAGTGTTGGGAATTTAATACCCCTTCTCCATTCCCCCTACTCCCAACAAGTGAATTGTATTTTTTTATTTATTTAATTCAGAATTTGGCCAGTCTTATTTGTCTCTGAAACATACTTTATTAAAAATAGGCTTTAAGTATAATGTAAGACCTGTAGATAAATTCGGGTATCTCCAGTGGGCTGTGGTCCTAGGGGGGTTGAACACAAACAAACAGGTAGGGTCAGCTGGCGTTTCCTAACAACCCTGCCTTGTACGATAATAGAAGCTTCTCTTATTTAAAAAACCAAGGAAGTTAAACATCATAGCAGTAGTTACTTCAGTCAAGCTTAGGATTCTCGGAGGACTGTGAAGATAATAAAACTCTGGGCAGGGGGAAAAGGAGAACTGCAGTCTGTCTAATGACCTAGACTTTAGGAAAGTTAGAGGAGAGGAGCAAAATTCGCTTGTCTTCTTTTTGTAGAGCAGTACTGCATCTTAGCACACAGAGGCAATGTGTGGATTCAGATCAGAGACTTTCTCTTTACGTGCATTGTATTACGGCTCTCCTCTCTTTTTCATAGTTCCACCCTGGGCTTTGAAAGGATTACTTGAATGAGTTCTAACCCTAGACTTCTAGCTATTACCTTAAATCATTTAGTGCATATATGTACCACTGATTTAAATACAGAATTCTTTTATGTCTAATCTTGATGGAAATGGTTTTATATATTTTTAGGCTAAAAGATGGTGAATGGTGGAGTAAATTCTTTGTACGGATTCTGAATGCCAGTGATGAGTCCACAGTGTCTGTTCTGAGGGAACTAGGAGCAGCAATGAGTGGGGTGTTTGACACCACGTTCCAAAATCTCCTGAACAAAGCTTTGTGGAAGGTGGGGAAGTTAACCAGTCCCGGGGCTTTGCTCTTTCAGCAGGATAGGCAGCCAAATCTCTCACAGATTCCTGCCTAAAACCAATGGTTGTATTGTGGAACACTGGACCTGTGTATGCTATAATTCAGTTTAGGACATGTTTAGATACACTACCAGCACATTGCTACTTTTTAGTAAAGATACAGTTCTAGGTAACTGGCATTTTCTGCATAGCGCTGTATCTATCCTTGGCCTTGTCTAACTAACAAAGAAGTGTTTTATTCTTCATGGACTCCATATGAATGGGTACCTTATTGTCATTTAACACATTTGTCTCTACCTTTCCCTGTACATTTTTCTTTTGTAATTTGTGACATGTGCCCTTACGATCACTATGTATTTTTTTTTGATCACTATGTATTTTTAAGTAATAAAATAGTATTTGTTAAATTTGTGCTTCTAACATCTCATCCACTTTTTGCCAACTAAGATAATAAATGGCTTGATTTCACAGACAGGAGCTGTTGTACCATGGAATGGTACATATGGTACATACACAATGGTATATATCCTAGACATGGAACTGCCATGATAGAATCATAACAAGACAGAATAGCCAACCATTCCTTTGGGTGTTCTTGACCTTCCACTAAGTGGTCTAGATTTAAAAGTAGATAAAATGGGGCACCTGGGTGGCTCAGTCGTTAAGCGTGTGCCTTCGGCTCAGGTCATGATCCCAGGGTCCTGGGATCGAGTCCCACATCGGGCTCCCTGCTCGGCAGGAAGCCTGCTTCTCGCGCTCCCACTCCCCCTGCTTGTGTTCCTGCTCTCGCTGTGTCTCTCTGTCAAATAAATGAATAAAATCTTTAAAAAAAAAAATAAAAGTAGATAAAATGATTTAATACAAGGCCAAATTTTCTTAAATTTCAAGTGGCGAAGTTGTTTGTTCTGATTCTATTTTAATATTTTCATTTTTTTATCCACCAAACCCTTTCATCTATTTATATAATCTCGTGGTGCTGCGGCTACTGGGTCTCTTGATTAGAACTGTGGCTGTTAGAAAGGAAGAGAAAAGGTTTTGAATGGGGTGTAGCAACCTTTCAGAAATAGGACAATCACCCTTCTACTACCTGCAGAATGACTTGGTGGGGCCAGAGTTAATAAAGGAATGGAACGAAGTTTTGTTGATTGGAAGATTTGAAGAGATAGAGGCCAGGATAAAAAGATAACTTGGAAGCATGTAATAATTCGGGAGAGACTAGATCTAGAAGAAGTATTAGATCCCCAAACAGAAGCATGGATTATACCTGGCTTTGGGTAGAGGGAGGAAAATTGGAAGAAAGGGGCAATGAAAATCATCTATTTCATATCCAAATATCAAAATTCTCAACTGTGCCTCCCTCCATTGCTGGTGCCTGATTTTTTTTTTTTTTCTTTACTCTAGTTGTCACTGTTACTGCTCTAAGATTGCTGGAAAGCAGAAAATTCTAAGTATATCTCAACTAAAAATATTTAAGCATATATAGTTGATGCACTGAAATATGACTTGAGTCTGAAAGATAATCAACTTAGAAATTTTTGCTCTTAACCAAAATACAACTTTTCAAACATTTTTATGTTTGCTTCTTGTACAACTGATGATGTAAAATTATATATCTATCTTTGCTGTAATTGAGCCCTTCTACCCCTCTGCTCTCCTCATTTCTCAGTCCACCGTTTCGACACATAAAACCCTTTGTCTGAGGATGGACAGTAAATTTAGATTCTTTCTTAACATAGGCTTAGCTATCAATTAGTGACTTCTTCAAGAACCTTGGCAGCAAGGCTGAAAAACCAGAGCTTTGTCTCTGAAAGGAGAGGGAAGAGAATCTGGGGAAGTTCCTTTATCAGAGAACTTGCAACTCTCCCTCCATTCCCCATCTCCTCCAACCCTGACCCTTCTCTGTAGGGGGAAGAAAACAGTTAGGACCTGTGATGTCTTAGTTTCCTCTTTGCCTGGGCATAAAACCACAAAGTGGGCGCGCTTCCATTTCCCTTGTATTTTATGCTTGTTTGTCTTGGAAGAAGGAAGCCTCTGTTTTTTGGCAGAAGCTTCAAATGGTTCTTGTTTCTTGTCTCACTAAGGCAGAAGTAGCACAACAATGGACCTGGCAGGGGAAACAGCTGAAAAGGCAGGCTTTTTACTTTTGTCTGAAAAGAGACCATGGGATATATAGTGCCCCACCATTCACGAAGGCTGCACCCACTAATCTTCTACCACTGTGAGAGCCCTCATCTTTCTGTGCCGCTTGAATAAGAAACCTTCCATCCAAGTCAAAGTGCTCTAACTGATGCCAAACCTGAATCTGGAAATAAAAAGGTTTTCCTATAGGAGTAGGACTTTAGACTATTAGTTGAGCTATTATCTCAAAGTAGATAAGGAAGCCTTCCAGATGGTTAGCCCAGGGCTCTTTGAAATGACGCTTGATGTGTTTAAGCTGAAGTCTTTAAGCAAAGACACCAAAGAAAGGCTTCTTTTCTGTTGCATTGGAAAATGTGGGATTCTTCCTCCAACTGCACCAACTCCTTCTAACATGCCAAAATTGCTGCCAGTCTCCAAAATTAAGACTTCCCTAGTGAGGAAGATGTATTTTAAAAACTTTTTTAATATAGCAAACTTTGACCTTAATGAGGTCCTTGGTTCCACCAAAGACAGAAGAAGCTATGAATACTTAATAGGACAAAGATGGCATTTCCTATCAGTGTGGGAAAAGATAGGGTATTCAATAACTGGTGTTCAAACAATGGGTTAGAGTTTGAACTCCGTCACCAGTGCCACCACGAGTCATACCTTTGTGCAAATTAGACAAGGGCCCCTTCCTCTAGTGGATTCTGTACCTCCCAGTGTGCCGTAGCCTTCCTGGATTTCAGCCCCCACTTAGCCCGTCAGCCTGCTGCCCTTGTTTGCATAGCCGTATGTAGTGGGCTTGCCTGTTTCACTGCTAATCTGCAAAACCATCTTAGATCAAAAACGTTAATGGAAGAAAATGAAAATGTAAAATATTGGGGACGCCTGGGTGGCACAGTCGGTCAAGCATCCGACTCTTGGTTTGGGCTCAGGTCGTGATCTCAGTGTCATGAGATTGAGCCCTGCATTGGGCTCCGCACACACATGCTCAGTGCAGAGTCTGCTTGAGATTCTCTCTCCGTCTCCCTCTGCCCCACCTACTCGTGCTCTCTCTCTAAAATAAATAAGTCTTTGAAAAATAAATAAATAAATAAAATCTTTGGGAAAAAGAAAATATAAAATACTAGATGACTTTGTAATCTTTTGTCACTGTGACGTAAAACCAAGATATAGGGAAGAATATTGCTATTTATTACTATAGTAGATAAAAACCAAAATCTAATGGCTACCTATCTCTCCCCTCCAAAAAAAAAAAAAAAAAAAAAAACGCCATAAACTGAAACTAGGAAAAATAACTTGCAACATATATTTGCATCATCTTTCAATTGCATTATTTCAAGGTCTCATAACTGATCTCTATGCTTCCCTCCCCACCCACAGTCATAACAGAACCCTTATCACAGCCTGTGAGACCCTACCGGTCTGCCCCACTATCCCCTGAGTTCTTCCCTGACTCTCCTTTTCCTCACTCACTCCTCCCCAGCCTGTCCACCTCCTCCTAGTTTCTCTCTTTAGGGCCTTTTAGCCTGCCATTTCTTCTGCCTGTATCTTCACTTGGATTACTCCCTTCAGAGAGTAGTCGCCACCTTATCAGAGAGGTCTTCCCTGGCCATTCTATACACAGCAGCATCCCCCCACACACACACTGCTGCTACTTTCTGTCCCTTTTTACCTGCTTTGTTTTTTCCAAAGCACCTATCACAACCTCGTGTGTGTGTAAATTTTTTTTCTGTATCCCACTACTAGAATTTAACTTCCTTAAAGGTGGGGATTTACCTCGTTTCCTGTTTTAACCCAAGTGTCTGAATGAATAAAATATTGGCAAAGCACTATTTAACCCTAAAGTACAAAGAACTCCTTAAAAATTTTTGAAAACCAATAGAAATAGACTAAGGACATAATCCATTAAAAACATTTTAATGGCCCACTTACCTGAGATAGTCACCCTTCATTCCTAACTAAATAAGATGCAAAATAAACCTGAAATTTTTATCATTCACATAGGAAATAGTTGAAAATTGTATTTGTGACAGTGAAGGGAAGCAGGTACCCATATATTATTTGTATTATTAACTGGAGTGCAAATTGTACATTATCAGAAGGTGATTTGGCAATATTTATTAAATTTGAATATTCCCTCCAGCTGAGAAAGTTTTCTAAGAACTTATCTAAAGACACATTGACACAGGTTGGCACACTCAAAGAAAAGCACCATTTGTATTGTTGTCTTCCTGCTTGCAAGGCTCCTTAGTCCCAAAGGGATGATCAGTAGGACAGACCCCAGGAAAACAGGAGCCCCGCCAGTGCAGAGGTGACATGCGACCATTTGCGTAGACCGCAGGGGTGCTCTGGCACTGGTGCTGACAACCAGTCTTCCCGGTTGGCATAGAGATGGCAGAACTTGCCTTAGGCTTGGAGGGGGAAACTGCAGACGTTTCAGCCTTGGTTAAAAACAAAAAAGCTGACGAGGAAACGTGATTACCTTTGGGGAGAGCCACAGGAGTGGGGAGAGAAAAGAACGAAGGCTTTTACTTTTCATTTTGTGCATTTCTGCACCTTTTGAATTTTCTGACCATACCCGTGGATTACTTTTTTCTTTCTTTTTTGTCTATTGTCTAAGAAATAATGGGCCATAGTTTTGTGATCTTTTCTTTATATTAAGAAATAAAAAGCCTAATAACTATTAGTTTTGTTTTGTTTTGTTTTTAATGGGAAATTTGGGAAGCTTTATCATCTAAATATCAAAGCAAGATTAATTTGGAATTAAAATGAGGGACTGAGGGGTGCCTGGGTGGCTCAGTGTGTTAAGCGTCTGCCTTTGGCTCAGGTCATGATCTCAGGGTCCTGGGACCAAGCCCCACATCAGGCTCCCTTATGAGTGGGGAGTCTGCTTCTCCTTCTCCCTCTGCCCCTCCCGCCTGCTCATGCTCTCTCTCGCTCTCTCTCAAATAAATAAAATCTCTTAAGAAAATAAGAGAAAGGGGACGCCTGGGTGGCTCAGTCGGTTAAGCGTCTGCCTTCAGCTCAGGTCATGATCCCAGGGTCCTGGGATCGAGTCCTGCATTGGGCTCCCTGCTCCGCGGGGAGCCTGCTTCTCCCTCTGCCTCTGCCTCTCTCTCTCTCTCATGAATAATAAATAAAATCTTAAAAAAAAAAAAAAGAAAAGAAGAGAAAGTATTTTAAATAATTAAAGATAATATATCTAAACTTACATTTTTAGTATGCTAAAAATTCATATATATTCAAATATCTTATAATTTTTCTATTTGAGACGTGCTTTCCAAAATTACCATCTTCCTTATATTATAATTTCCTATGTCTGTGAACAAGGGAGTGAATTACATAAAACTTGACTTTTTTCAAAACAAAGTGCATTTTATGGCTTTCATATAGAAACTTGAGTTTCTACAAACTGACTTAAGAAAGGAACAGACAGACCATGATGAACTTAGGCTAAACTTCTACAAACATATACCTTTTCTCTTTTTTTTTTTTTTAAGATTTTATTTATTTATTTGACAGAGAGAGACATAGCGAGAGAGGGAACACAAGCAGGAGGAGCGGGAGAGGGAGAAGCAGGCTTCCCGCAGAGCAGGAAGCCCGATGCGGGGCTCGATCCCAGGACCCTGGGATCATGACCTGAGCTGAAGGCAGACACTTAACGACTGAGCCACCCAGGCGCCCCAAACATATGCCTTTTTTCTTTTCTTTTTTTTCTTTTTTTAATTTATTTGCGAGAGAGCGAATGAGAGACAGAGAGCACGAGGGGGAGGAGGGTCAGAGGGAGAAGCAGACTCCCCGCCGAGCAGGGAGCCCAATGTGGGACTCGATCCCGGGACTCCTGGATCATGACCTGAGCCGAAGGCAGTCGCTTAACCGACTGAGCCACCCAGGCGCCCCATATGCCTTTTTTCTATCAAAGCATACCACTGTCAAGAATCCTGCTCCTCAGAGGCTCCAGTGGCAGATTTTCGGCTGCTGAGCAGTATTGTCCCATAAGTTCAGATTGGTTTCTCCATGGGAATGGAGTGGCTGCCCAAACTGCTGTTTCTCAAATCCCCTGTGAACAAAGGACTATGCATCTATTAATTTTATATACTCCCAGAAATTAGCACATAGTTTTCAAAAATAAGTCGTGAATTAAAATGTTGGAAAAGAGCAGCTATGAGTTCAAAAACTAGTCGCACTGGAGCCTTGGGGAGGGGGGGTAAAATCTATCCTCGGCTCTAGATGAGCATGGCACCTTCTCACTTTTCTGTGTCACTTTATGTTCCATAACCTTTTGTTGTTATTGACTGCTGACCTTACGTTGTGATTCATCTCGTTGTCCTGTTTACTCCTTTTAAAATTAAATGTTATTTCCACAGGTGTATTTATTCCACTGGAATGTGTACTTTATTTCCCACATGTGTTTAATTCAGCCTCACATTCATTTGAAAGTTATGTGAATCCGCGTATGCTGCGATTTCAAGCTTACTGGCCTGGTCACGTGATGTGTTTCTAGTTAATTGCTTCACTCCTGCAATTAGCCAAGTGAGAATGGCATGTCATAAAACCAAATACCCATTAAAATCTGTGAACAAAAAGATGAATATATACATTTACTTGTTTGCTTTTGCATTTTTTTCCAAACAAAATTGAAAAATCTGGTAATGTTAGAATCAGGTGATAAAAACATTGAAAAGGGGACATGTGAACCTTCAATGAGATTGGCTCATTCAAGGAAATGAGCTGGTACAGTGGAGTCTAGGAGTCCCAGCAAATCGAGGGGGTTAGGCGGGCAGGAATAGGAGCTAGGAGGCAAAGTACATGAAAGTTAACTAGTGTTGCTGGGAGATACCTTCCCCGTCTACTGGACTCCATCATTGAATAGATAGGGAAGCCACTCCCCTTGCTCAGGACTCACCCAGACAGGCACATCCAGCATCCTAGCATGTGGGGACCCGTGGTTGAGGTTCCACGGTAGAGGCCACTAGGGGCCGCCCCATAGCTCCTACCTGTACCATTTCCCGGCTGCATTACAGGCGCAGGTACATGCCTTACCTCTCTCACTCAGATGAGCTCTTGGGGACAAGATCTGTGGGGTTTTTTTATACCTTAGTTATAACTTGTATGTAGTGCTCATATTATAGGGGGTCAATTGCACAGGCCCAGGGCTTGCTAGAACATCCTCAGTATTGAGGTGGCTCCTGCCTATGGTGCCGAATCAAATACTAGCATGGTGGTTAGAAATGCATCGAGAGCCAGAATACCTACGCTTGAGTCCTGGCTGTGTGGCATTGAACAATTACTTACCCGTTCTGAGCTAGTGTCCTCTGTGAAATGAGGATAGCATGAGTGCCTACCTTATAGAA